TTGGGCCACTACCCCTTCGTCATTCCTAACCCGAGGGATGGGGTTTCCGAAGGGGTGTGGCAGAGGGGGAAGTACGATGTTCTCCCCAACCTGGGGTTGAGCCGGAGCCAGGGTGCCGAAGGCACCCGGGTTCTGAGTTAGCGTCTGGATGAAGGCGGAGAGTGCCGAATGAACGTCGATGGTGAGGACCGGAGGGCTGACTTGGTCATCGCTCCGGTTTTTCTTCTTGGCCTCGATGCCGAGGCGGGCATCGGGGGCATTCTGCTGGATCTGAAGGCGTAGGTCGACAGCCGCCTGTTCCAGCCCAGCGATGACACCGCCCTCGGGAGCCGTGTGAGAGGCTTCGGGGGCGTTGACGTCGCCGAGGGCCAGGTTCTTGTCTTCTACGTTTTTGGAGTTGGCACGTGTTGTTCTCACCATTTTGGTATAGGGCTAGTGTTTGACGAAGGGGGGGGGGGGTTCTTACTTGATCGTTCGACCTCTCAATGAGAGCACCAAATGATGGATAGTGTACCCGGGGGTAGCTTATCCGAGGGGTTATTGCGGAGAATAACTAGAGAGAAGTCAGAGCAAATAAGTAAGAGAGAGTGTGTATATTCGATATGTATTCAGCGTGGTTTACAATGAGGGAAAGGGGTGCTATTTATAGTAGTAATAAATGCTAGATAAGGACACGTGTCAGTTTTCTGGTGGTCGAGGGGTCACCTCGACCGGGGTGGCACTGTCACTCGCATGTGGCCGCATTAAATGTGGTGGTTGGATGTGACGTTTGTACTTGGTACGGTGATCCAGGCGCATGTGAAGAGGATATTCTGTCGAGGTGGATGCCTTCGGCTGAAGGGTGCTGGGCCGAAGGCTCTTCTAACCGAGGGCTGCAGGTGCCGAAGGCTTGGTTTTCAAGCCTTGTTCTCCTGTGACGCCTCTTCTAACCGAGGGCTCCTACCTGCCGAGGGCTGCAGGTGCTGAAGGCTTGGTTTTCAAGCCTTGTTCTCCTGTGACGCCTCTTCTAACCGAGGGCTCCTACCTGCCGAGGGCTGCAGTTGCCGAAGGCTTGGTTTTCAAGCCTTGTTCTCCTGTGATGTTTCTGAGCTCGATTCCGTCACTGGTAGCCTTCAGCCATGGGGCCGAAGGCACCCCTTTGCGTATTGTGGGCTGCTTAGAGCTCCATTTTTCTGGGCTTGGCCCGTTTGGGCCTGTTGGGCCTGATTGTAGTAGAGGAAGTATGTGGGCCGGGGGTCCCTGGGCCATATACTCCATCATCAGACTTCCATTTAGGTTTCAATTCAAAGATGACAGTTCCCAATCATTGTTGCTTATGCGATGACTATAAATAAAGGTCAGAGTCAATCCCTTTCACATATTGGTTTATTGTTAAAAAAAGCAGTGTTGTGTCATGATCAGTTGTACTTTCCAATTTATAGGGTTACAAACCACAAAGGTTTAAAATAATAATTGTAGATGGTGACAAAATAGCGCATACGAGACCACTAATGTTGTGTCCAAAGAGTCTTCCAAAATTTATAATGCATGTGATATTTCTATGTGTCAACATACATGCAACATTTTATGCCTTCAACTTTTATTTTGTCACAATTAATTATGTATACTTAGTTATTACTAGGGGAATTTGACTTTGCACCCCACTTTTTGGGTGATATTGGACTTTGCACTCCATTTCAAAACAAAATTGATTTTGCACCCTATTTCACTTAAATGAGATTTTTTCCTTCACAAAATGTTATGTGTTGGGGTGCAAAATCAAGTTTTTTCAAAATGAGGTGCAAAGTACAATATCACCCAAAAAGTGAAGTGCAAAGTCAAATTCTCCCTTATTACTACCGCATCTTTATTATGATATCACATATTGGTTCTAATTATTTTCTCATACTTTTTATACGCTTTATTACTTTTTGGAAGTAATTTTTGAATTAAATATTCCTCGTGCATCGCACGGGTGAAATACTAGTTTGTAATTCAATTCGTGACGGAGGGAGTACTCTGTATTGCACAATAATATGGACCATGCCAACGGTTATATCCCATCCATTCACAAAACTAACCCAATAAAAGAAACTCAAATCTGAACAATTATAAGAGCTCCCCTAAAAACTACTCCGTAATTTTAATTGTATATGCATCCAGTGGAGGAGCTAGGGGGGGCAAGGGGGCAAGCGCCCCCGCTCCGACTAATTTTTTTACTAGTATTACTTATAATATGTTTCTTGCCCCGGTTTCTTTTTTAATTTTAAAAACAATAAGTACAACTTAAGGTTATTTTAAGATGAAGTGTTCAAATAAATAAAAAAGTATTTTCAGAAAAAGTAAAAAAAATGAAATATAGAATAAAAGGGGATTAATGAGTCAATGAGACAAATGAGCATCTAATCTAAGGCTAAGTAAAAAAAAACGGGCATAAGTAGAAAAATGAAAAAAAAAACAATTCTAAAGCCCAAGCCACCTAGACAATCCTAAAGCCTAAGCCCAAAAATGAAAAAAATAACAATTCAAAACGTAATCACTAAAGTCTAAAGCCATTAAGTGGGTTAAACATTCAAAGCTTCATTAACAAAAGACCTAGGCAGTCGGCAGTCCCTTCCCACACCGCCAAAAAAATGAATCGAGCAGTTGAGAACGCAGGCAGGCAGCGAACGTGAGAACTGAGAAGCAGCATCGCCCGCTCCCTCTCCGGCTTTACTCCCCAACAGAAATCTACCTTCCTTCTCCAGTTAGTTCTCGCTTCTCCCCATTTGTTCTCAGATTCTACAATTTTCAAGTAAGTTTCTCATCTGCCAATTTATGCCCATATTAATTATTTGCTCTCATCCCTAACGAAAAGTCAGAAATTATTTGTGTGAATCCTCAAATCTCAGTTCTAGATGCAATTTAATGCTATTTGTATAAGGAACATTTTTAATTCATACTTATTTTTGTTATATTTAGGAGTATGAGTTTGGATAAATTTGTAATTAAGACTAAGAGGTCTTTGATTGGAGGTGTTAGTTCTTCAATTGTTCCTAATCAGTCTATCTCTAGTGTTGAAAATGCCACTGTGTCAAATGAAAATACTGCTAGAGATGAGAGGAATGAGAGGGATAAGAGAGTCCGAACAGAAAGTACACATGAATGGGATATTATTAGTGATCCATTTTTACGAAAACCAATTAATGAATATGCGTCGGGGATTAGGGATGATGTGATGAGAGCATATGTTGTTAAAGGTGCTTGTCAACCAGCATCCCATAAGTTTCCACGAACTGAATTTGGTAAGACATTAAGGAGCTTTCGAGGAGAGTGGTTTAAAACTTGGGAATGGTTGGAATATAGTATTTCTAAAGATGCCGCTTTCTGTTTTTGGTGTTACCTTTTTCATGGGCATGAAGGAAAGAGATTTGGTGATGATGTGTTTGTGAGGACCGGATTCCGTAATTGGAAGAAAGCTCCTGAAAAATTTAGAGATTTGCCTATGTTGCAGAAGTAAATCAAGTAGTATGTAATGAACTATAATTTTTTGTTAAATTATTACGCTATTGTTGTTCTTATTATATTTTGGACACGAACTTTAAAATTTTTAATCTTTGGTTTGCCCCTCCTTGGACAAACCTCTGGCTCCGCCACTGTATGCATCTAATGAGCTCTAATGAAAATGGCACTTCAATTCCATGCATATTTGTAATTCATCACATCGGCACACCTGACATCAACCTTTTTTTCAAACTACCGGAGAAAACTTGAGCCATATATTAATGTTTCAATTATTGTTATTATTATTACTAAAAATAATACGGAGTACAAACTACCACAGAAAACTTCTAATATTATTTAATGTTAAAATAATACCAACTGTCTTACATAAACTAAAAATAATACGTACATTGGAAATAAGTTTTAATAATACCAACTATTTAAATAAAGACGATACGGAGTATAAGGCAATTTTTTACTAAAATTAATGCCATTTAACTAATCCACAACTTGTATCGAAAATTCGAAATAACTAATAAGTGGATGTATTCTCAAATATCATTTATTGATGGATTGTCATTAGTTTTTGATATCTTAAAAGACATGATTTCTTATCTGATGGATCACTGAACTAGGGGGTAGCCGGAATCCGAGTAAATTAAGAGAGAAGAGCTGATCGAAAATTTCAGGTAGATATTTCTGCAGAGTAACAGCTAGAGAATACAAATTGTGATCCTTTTCCACAAGCTGGAAGGTGATATTTATACTAGAAGGGCAATACTTGGTGCCCAAGTAAAAAGATGTTGAACTAATAGGGAGAGGACGTGTGTCCTATCTATTCTAACAAACTGACAGTCTAAGTCGATGGGGAGCATTCACATGTAAAGGTGATTGGAGAGATAGTCTGGAACAACTGGCTGATTGGAGCTGCTCTAACAAACTGCTACCCGAATGCCCGTCTGGCTACACGTGTGTGATCCGGAACATTCTTCCTGTCCACTACCAGGAGTGACATGGCGATATTCTTCTGGGATATCTGTCTTCATTTATTTTGTCTAAGTCCTTGATGCCTTGATCAGACCCTGAGCTCGCTGAGGTCAGTATCTGGAGACTCGGGCTCATCGCTAGGGGATACGTCTTCCGTTTCTGGTTCCGTCTTTGAGCTCGTTGACTCCTTAGTTTGACTCTGATTGACTCTGTGTTGATGCCCAAGGTCAGAGTTGGTGCCGAGCTCGGTGCATTCGAGGTCGGGCTCATAACTTGTCGAGTTTGAGCGGTTCCTGAGCTTGGTATTTTCCCGACCTCGGGGGTCGAGGTCGGGGTCGGCTGGTCCTTTGGCCCTACTAGTTTCATTATTAATATATTGTCACTATATTATACAGAGTACTCCGTAAATTTGAAATCTAGAGTTTTTTGTGTATAGCCTCTAAGTAATAGAATAATAATATATTAAGTGTACATATGTATACATTAGTTACGTAGATAAGTAGATATACATAGTCTGTTAGTTTGTTTATGAATTAGCTATTTCTTCTCCTTCTTATCTTTATCTCTTGTATATCTCTTGTATATTTAAGCCATTGAATGTGGCTGGGTTAATGCAAGTTTCATCACTTCATTCAATCTTATTATGGTATCGAGCCATTATCTGTAAAAAAATCCCGATCAAACATCTGCCCTCTCCCAATCAATATGTCAAGTGCTACAGCTCTCACTTTTCCAATTTCGGTAGATACTACTGGAACATCTCTCACCATTATCAACCTCACCAATGTTGTCAAGCTCACGTCAACTACCTATTTGTCATGGAAAATTCAGGTTGAAGCATTGCTCGTCGGCTATGGTCTCTCAACATATATCGATGGTACACAAGTCTCTCCTCCTGCAACCATCACAGACAACAATGTTCCTTCACCTAATCCTGCTTATGAGCGTTGGAAAAGGAAAGATAAACTCATGTTTGGAGCTATCGCTGGTACACTCGATCCTACCATTATTCCTCTTATTTCTCAAGCAGCTACTTCCAAAGAAGCATGGGATATTCTGGCTCACACATTTGCCCGTCCTACCAGGGGACAAATTAAACAAACCAAATCTCATCTCAAAAACACCAAAAAGGGATCTCACTCTATCACTCATTATCTTCACACAATGAAGACATGTGCTGATCAACTCACTTTACTTGGCAAACCTATGGATATTGAAGATCTCGTTGAACATATTCTTGATGGCCTCGATAGCAATTATCAATGTGTCATTGATGCGGTTAACGGTCGTGATGTTCCTATCACTTTTGATGAACTTCATGAGAAGCTTCTCAATAAAGAGTTAGAACTTCAGGCCAAACAAGTATCATCTGTTGATCTCATGTTTCCAGCCACTGCACATGCCACCAATTTTAAACCCAAAAAATTTCCATCTACCTCACGATCTCTGTGGAATTCTGCTCCCAGCAAACAATCTATCACAGGCTTGCCTAACAAACGACCGGCGAAACCATATCTTGGGCGTTGTCAATGGTGTCATGTTCAGGGACATAACATCTCCTATTGCCCAGTTTTTCAGCAGCAACATCCATCTATCAAGCCTCCTCCACCTCCACGGACCAACTCTTCACTTCCTCAAGCTCATGTGGCTATGATTAGCTCTCCCTCGGAATCCTCCTGGCTGCTTGACAATGGTGCCTGTCACCATGTGACGTCTGATCTTGGTAATCTTTCTCTTCACAAACCGTATGACGGTACTGAAGAGATTGTTATTGGTGATGGATCGGGCCTGCCTATCTCATATACTGGTTCTACTCTTATTCCTACTCCCACACGTCCTTTTTCTCTCAATACTGTCTTACATTCCCCACAAATACAACGAAACATCGCGTCAGTTTCTCAGTTATATCGTGATAATCATATTTCTGTTGAATTTTTACATGATTGTTTCATTGTGAAGGACCTGACCACGGGAGCACATCTTCTCAAAGGACTAACTAGTCATGGTGTTTATAAGTGACCCTCTCTCAAGTCTCCTCCAGTTCTATACTCCAGTCTCTGCTCTACCGTTTCCGAACTACATCATTCTCTTGGCCATCCTGCCATATCAGTCATGCGTCGGCTCAGTGTTGTTCATGGAATTTCAATTCCCAGTACTTATAGTTTAAATTGTCATTCTTGTCACTGTAATAAGAGCCATAAATTACCATTTCATGTTTCTACAATAAAATCCAGCTCTCCTCTGGAAATCATTTATTCTAATTTATGGACATGTCATGTACTTTCTATTGATGATTACAAATATTACATTATTTTTGTTGATCATCATACTAAGTACATGTGGTTTTATCCTCTTAAACGTAAGTCAGATTCATTGTCTGTGTTTACTCGCTTTCACAAACTTGTGGAACGTTTCTTTAATTCCAAAATAAAAAAATTTTATTCTGATAATGGGGGTGAATATAAGGCAATGACACCATATCTTACTTCACTTGGCATTTCCCACTTTACTTCTCCTCCCCACACGCCCCAACATAATGGCCTCTCCGAACGTCACAATAGACATATTGTAGAGACACGTCTTGCCCTTCTTACCCATGTTTTGATCCCGACACACTCTGACCTTTTGCCTTTGCCACAATAGTCTACCTTATTAATCGGCTCCCAACTCCAATTCTTGACCATAAAACTCCATATACCGAGCTTTTTCAATCATCTCCCAACTACACCAAATTGCGGAGTTTCGGCTGCCTTTGCTATCCGTGGCTTCGTCCTTACCCATAAAATGGAACCCAAATATGCACCGTGTGTCTTTGTTGGATATTCACCCACTCAAAGTGCATATTACTGTCTTGATCCCACCACCCATCGAGTCTATACCTCACGGCATGTTCGTTTTATTTACAGTGTCTATCCATATTCTCAACTTGTTGGCCTTGCTTCCTCAACACCACCTACTGCTGATGCATGGCTTTCTCTTAACTTACCCATTTTATCATCTACTTCATCTCCCATGGATACATCCCAAAATCTCTCATTAACAAGTCCTAGTTCGCCTTCTAGTCCCTCACCAGGCCACCCACCAGTTTGTTCTTCTCCAGACCACATCTCCTCTTCTTCCCGTTTGTTTACTTCACTTCCCAATACTCACTCCTCTGCCATTCCTCTGTCACCCACGCATAACTCTTCCCTATCATCAGACACGTTACAGTCCTCTTCTCATCATCCTATGATCACTTGGTCTAAAGCCAATATTTTTAAGCCCATCCAAAAACTAAATCTTCATACTATAGTTCAGCCTGTTCATAGTGAGCCTACCACTGTTAAACAAGCTTTGCAGGATCCCCGATGGAGACGTGCCATGGAGGAAGAATTTACTACGCTTCAGTGTAACCATACATGGGATATTGTTCCACCAGATCCTGCATATAATCTAATTCAGTGCAAATAGGTATTTCGCACTAAGTTTAAACCTGATGGTTCTATTGATCGCTATAAAGCCCGGCTTGTGGCGAAGGGTTTTCACCAGCGTCCCGGATTTGATTATACTGCCACATTTAGTCCGGTTGTTAAACCGGCTACTATACGGGTTATTCTCACTCTAGCCGTATCTAATGAGTGGTCTCTTAAACATCTTGACATTAATAATGCATTTTTGCAGGGGACTGTCCATGAAACGATGTACATGGCTCAACCACCTGGATTTATTTGCTCTAAAAATCCATCTTTTGTTTGTAAATTACGCAGGTCACTATACGGACTCAAGCAGGCACTTCGGGCGTGGTATATGGAGCTAAATCATATCTTTTACAAATGGGTTTTGTCAATTCCATCTCAGATGCTTCGTTATTTATTCTTCATCATGCTGCTCATCCTATCTATTTACTTGTTTACGTTGATGATATCATCATCACGAGGCCGGATAATGCTGCCATTTTGGATTTCCATGATCAATTGGCCAAACGTTTTTCATTAAAAGATCTTGGTCCTGCATCTTATTTTCTTGGCATAGAACTCTTTTCTCGTGCCACTGGGGTATTCATGAATCCACGTAAATATGTCACTGATATTCATGGACACATGAAAATGACGGATGCCAAATCAGTTTCTACCCCCATGGCATCATATCCCTCACTAACGAAACTAGCAGGTCATGTTTACCATAACCCTGAAGATTATCGGATGATTGTTGGTAAATTACAATATCTTACTATCACACGGCCGGATATTGCTTATGCGGTTGATAAGCTCTCTCAATATATGCATGAGCCACGTACAGATCATTGGGCGGCTGATAAATGTTTATTACGCTATCTTTGTGGAACTCTAGATCATGGTATTCACATTGATAAAACTTCTCCTCTTACTTTACATGCATTTTCTGATGCTGACTGGGCTGGATATAAATATGATTATCACTCTACCATGGGCTATCTTGTTTATTTTGGGAAACACCTATCTCATGGACTTCCAGAAAACAACGCACCATTGCTAGATCATCGACGGAAGGTGAATATCGGGCTATTGCTAATACTTCGACTGAACTCATATGGATTGAATCTCTTTTACGAGAACTCAGATTTCAGCTTCCTCAAAAGCGTGCTATTTATTTTATTGTGATAATTTGGGTGCCACTTGTGTCAGTGCTAATCCGATCTTTCACTCTCGTATGAAGCACTTAGCTCTAGACTACCATTTTGTGAGAGAGAAATTCCAAGATGATTCTTTACGGGTTTCACATGTTACTTCTAGTAATCAGCTAGCAGATATTCTTACGAAACCGCTGAGTCAAGGTCTTTTTCACAGCTTACGTTCCAAGATTGGTCTCACCTTGAGGCCGTCCATCTTGCGGGGAACATAATAGAATAATAATATATTAAGTGTACATATGTATACAGTAGTTACGTAGATAAGTAGATATACATAGTCTGTTAGTTTGTTTATGAATTAGCTATTTCTTCTCCTTCTTATCTTTATCTCTTGTACTCCCTCCGTCCCATTAGAAGGTTCCCATTTCCCCTTTTTGGATGTCCCATATAAAGGTTCTCATTTCCATTTTAGGAAACAATTTACAATCTTAAGTGACAAATTAATCATTAAATATTAAAAATAATACATTTATAACATCACAGTTATCAATACTAACTACATTATAGTATATACCTATTAAAATTATTTCTCAAAATATACCCAAAGTACTTTATTTAATTATTGCCTAAATAACCGTGTCGTTTTGCTCTGGGAACCTTCCAACGGGAAGGAGGTAGTATATCTCTTGTATATTTAAGCCATTGAATGTGGCTGGGTTAATGCAAGTTTCATCACTTCATTCAATCTTATTACTAAGTACATTATTGAAGAACATTCTTAGTTACATGGCACCCATTCACCAAATTAGATACGGAGTATGTACTTACCAGCTACTGGATATAAATGTCTCCTAGTATGTACACTTAATTTTCACTTCTGCCAACTCCAAATGCTAATTTGACAAAACTACCCGAGCGAGTAGCTCAACGATTGTTGGGTGAGACTGTTGAATTGAAGTTTCAGGCTTAATCCCTTGCAGTAATGGTGAGAAAGTTTCATCCAATGTAGACTGTAGTGGCTCCTTTTACGCACCAATGAAATCATACACACAAAGGACTAGTACTCAAAAATCATAAATAGAACAGTGAAATTCACAACAAACAGTTACAGAATGAAGTCATGGCTGATGAAAGACTGATGATACACTCATACACATTGCAAATCCAACAAAACTTCATTCATCAATGCAGCTTTCTCACTTTATGTCAAAGAGATTCATACAAAACTAAACAACGGCTGCAGTCTAGCTGCAAAATTCAACCAAAGATCAAATCTTGGAATATAAATCAAACCTAAAGATCCGATCTTCGAATATAATTTAAACCTAAAGATTGAATCTTGGAATGTATCACTCAACATTGAGTTCGATGTGAGAATGTTTGTAATGCACTAAAAATTACCAAGTGATAACAAACCACCCTGCCTTTCTCAGGGACCATCTTAATTCTCCAAGCCCAACTCTACCTCAAGTTTGTTCCAAGCCCGCATCACATTAGGTGGAAACTTACTCCTCACTACTGATATGACATTTTTTGCATCTGTAGTCTTTGATATTTTCACCAAACCGCAAACTAGATGCTTCAGAGTATTAAAATCTGGGATCTTGTTCATTGCCACACTCTCATTGAATACCCTATACGCATTCTCAAACTGCCCCTTCTGACATGCATTATAGATGAAAGTCCTAAAAGTTGTAGCATTAGGCTTACAAAAATTAGCCTGGAGATTGTGATACACCTGCTCAGCTTCGTCTATCATCCCATTCCTGAAGTAACTGGTCATCAAGTAATTGTAGCTAATTATATCAGGTTTTAGCCCTGCATTGCTCATTTCTTCTATCAAACCCTTAACGGCTTCCGGGTTCCCACCTTGAATGTTCATAATCTTGACGTTATAGGCTCCAACATCCAGGTCACACCCTGATTTCACCATCTCATCCCAAACCTTTTCAGCTTCTTTGCTCATCCCTTTCTTGTATAACGAATTCATAACCGTAGTGTACGGGATGGCATTAACTTTCATGCCGTTCTCCCCCATTTCCTTCAATTTCTCCATGGCCAATTCAGACGACCCAACTTCACAGTAAGACCTAATAAGTATGCCATAAGAAATCATATCAGGCGAAACTCCATACTTCTTAGGAATTTCATCGAACAGCTGGGGGACACGATCGTACAGCTTCGACTGGATGCAAGCGGACAGAAGGGCGTTGAAGGAAGCAGATGATCTAGGAGTTCCGAAGTCGCTCATCTGCTCATATGTCTTGAGCGCGTTATCGAACATTCCAACGATGCCATAAGAGCGGATGATAGTGGCAAGGAAGTGCTCCTTCGTGACTTTGGGATCTTTCTTGTGAGCCTCTAAGAAGGTTACTATGTCATAGAAACGGTGCGACTTTGCGAGACGCTTGACGGTGTACTCCTGCGCATAGCGGGAGGTGAGAGGAGAGGGGTAGTGGTCAGAGACGGAGGAGTATACCTCCAACGCTTTGTCAGGGTCGTGCTCGGATTGGAGAACCGATTTTGCTTTGGAAATGGATATGGTGGAGGCAGCGGAGGTCGAGGCGGCGACCGCGGCCGAGGCCGTCGAGAGGTGGCGAACGTGTCGCAGGACGATTGAAGACATTGATGATTTATTAGGGCTTTAGGGTGACGGAACTAAAATGCGCAGCAAGAGAGCAGTTGCGGCGTATAGGGTGAGACGTGAGTAAAGCCATCCTCTACCTCTATTTCCAATTTGAGGAAATTATCAGATAGGTTCCCAAACTTTCATAAAAAGGTCAATTACGTCTTTCTACAAGAGATTTTGTCCGGCCATCACGATTTGGAGCAGTTGCCGGTGGAATTTTTTGATGAAATTTGTTGAGCATCTTATTCACCAAGTCTAGTTTACTCATACCAAATTTCAGCTAAAAATTCATTCGGGAACACATTCAAATTAATTCTTTAAGATCACTGCGCATTTTTGCGTTCTCGAATTAATTTGAATGCGCTCCCGATTAAATTTTTAGCTAAAATTTGGTATGAGTAAACTAGACTTGATGAATAAGATGCTCAACAAATTTCATCAAAAAAATCACGACGACCGCCCCAAATCGCGACGACCGGACAGAGTCTCCTATAGAAGGATTTAAGTGATTTTTTTATGAAAGTTCGAGGACCTATTTGACAGTTCTCCCTTAAAATTAAGGAGTAATCTCCCGTCCCGCTAAAATTATCTCATTTTACCTTTTCACGAAATTTCACAAAAATTGTTTCATAACAAATTTGGTAAAATTTGTGTGATTCTAAATGATTTTTACTTTATTTTTATTTTATCAAGTCAATTTAATATCAACTACACAGTCACTTTTCTTAATAATCTTGTCACTTTATCTTGTCCCAATCTTGGTGAGACAAAAGTAGTAACTTTGTTTTACAATATTTATATTTTTATTGGTTTTCCTACTATCGAAATCTAAAAATTTGAAATAGGATATTCAAACCCAAAATCTGAAAATAAGAATGATAGTTTATACTTGAATTGTGTTTTTGGATTTGCAACAACTTTCATTTTCAGTGTTGCAAATCTATGTGCACCTACTAAATTTGAATGAACCTACGCCAAATAAAAATTAGGTCAGCCTCATTTAGATAATTGGATCATTATTAAGATATAACTACAAAATTACTTATAGATACTTAGATATTGCTCCGAAATTATATAGATACGAGTAACTATGTTCTATTCTCAAATAGAACTTATTTGATCCTATCAAAAATATAACAATTTCGTAATTAGAAATGAATGGATCTATTAACTTTATATTGAGTCTAGCTTTTGTTCTATGGACTGATGGACATCGCTTGTTCACTTTGTTAATTTTGGGGACATACAACACTACAACTCTACAAGACTGTATGCTTTGATGTCATTTTTGAGTAAATGTACAAATTTTCATTGATGATAGAGTTAAATTATTCCTGATAATATAAATAAGTAATATTAATGTTTAAAAATTACCCAAGAAGTAATTCTATTGAAGCGCAAAAACATAATATAAAAATGATAGTATTTCGTACTCAAATCAGACAAAAAAAGTGTGTTAACTACATGAATAGAAACTGTAGTCTTGTGGGGCAAAAATGTGTTATCAGCAAATTAAGCAAGTGTAAATGTGTCCACCTTGATGGAAAGAATCCAATAAATGTCAAAATGTTCTTAGAATGGGGTAATGGAGAGAGCAGCATGCTCTCAGCAGGAAACCTCAACAAAGATTATATGTGTGCCTAAAGCCCTAAAGTAGTCATAGTTGACTCTCAGGATCTAAAACTTGACATGTGCAGTATTTACTAAGCAAATAGGCCAGGGCAGCCCCTGGGTATAGACTTTAGACCGGTCATGAACGACCAGTTGTTTGATGCGAAGACATACTCAATTTGCAAAAGAGGTCCTATTTTGAACTCCCATCACCACGTTTTAGAAGCCAAGCAGAGTGCTGCGATACACACAATTCATTCAAAACCTGCAAAACAGATGAGTCGTATTCCATTAGGTCACCTAGGGTTCGTTTGGAACCTAAAAATACCACGAAAAGCAAACAGGGAAGAGAAGTAGAGAACGTAGAGTAAAACTGAAGGTGAGAAGCAGTTGAGTAATTTGGAGGGACAGAGTTTAAACTCATTAAATCAATTTTCAGTATATATTCAACTCATCTGATTTATATTTTCAATTACGGAAGTGTATCTATTAATGACTGAGAAATGTAACCACATAAGGAGTATAACTTTAAAAAGGTTTTATTCAAAAATGATTTGCCTTGGTAGTATCCAAGGTAAAGCCAAAAATTCAGAACTATTTTGAATTTTCCTTGGCTTTCCCCCCTTTCGCTACCAATTTCTGTGTTACAGAGTACTGAGGACTTCTTCATAAGATGAAACATACAAATAGATACACTCCTTTTTTTTATATCAGGAATAGTTAGTCTGACCTTCCTCAACTCTACATCTGAAATATCCCTTTTAAGTTGCAACTTAGCAGCCTCAAGAATTGAAGCCTTTTTAAGCTTTGCATTAGGACCATCAGCAATGAAAAGATCAATAACCACCTTCCTGAAAATCACATATCACATTAATGCCTCATGCCTTAAAAATCCCTTTTTTAGGTTGAGATAGACAGAGTTGTGACAAAGGAAAATTAACCTTAATGGATCGTACTGTGGATTCTCGGGGGATGACTTCAGCACATATACATCATGGATGTTAACAGCAACCTGATTTATAATTGACCGCAGCTCCTCCAGTGGAGCATCAACACCCAATGCTGCAGCTTGTGCTTCCCGTGCATCTCCTTTTGGACGAACAGTCTCAGAAACTGCCATTTCTCTCAACCGTTGGCAGATTTGTTGAATACTGATAAAACATATTAATCAGGGTTGAATGAGTCATATTTTTCATACAGGACAAGGATAACACCAAATTTGTTACATATATTTTCACTTTTCTGGAAACAAAAAGATATTAACCAGTACTGCATTTGTTTTCATATTCTTAAAACAAGAATAGAACGTAAATTATTAAAGAAAAAATGACTAATTACTTGGTTCCACCGTTTCTGAAAACATGTCTCTGATTTTGACAGATTTTTTTATTTTTATAAAAAGTAACAAAATAAATATATTTATAATAAATAGTCAAGATCGTATATACAAAAATAATCAAACGAACATGTCTAAATTTCTTAGAAGATAGAAATTATATGAAAAAAACATAAAATGTTATCAAATGAACCGTTAGTAATTAAAAGGTCTGGAATTAGAGTACCCACAACCTCCAGCTAATCTACGGCCTGCATGGGTACCACTACTGAAGTAATCAGGGAATACTTCTTGTGACACGCAGCACCGCTGAACCATTCATTCTAAAACATGATGCACGTATACATATGCATATGTAGTTTTCTGGTTAAAATTACTATGACTTTTCTTGGATAAGGGTAAGGAATAGAGAAGACACAAATGGGTGAGAAAGAAATGAAAAATGAGCAATATTAGAGATATAGAGCAGTATTTGTGTGTTATTTGGTAGGAGAAAATACAGAACAAAAGTATAAAAATTAGGAGGAGATTCATATATCTCCTATTTTTCCTCTCAAGGGGGGAGAAATTAAAAAAGGAGGTGGGATCCACCATTTCATTTATCATCTATTCATCACCCATTTATTTTCAAACCAAAACAAAGAAAAACATGCTTCATTTCTTCTCTATTTCGATCTTTGCCTTTCTTCTATAATTCTCCCCTACCAAATAAAGACTAAAAGTGAGCAATTTTAGCACATTAGTTTGTGATACCCTCACCTGCAAACACTGTGAATCTTGAAAAGCTTCAGGAGGGCCTTTGGTAAAGCTTCTCGAGTTTCTTCTGACATTGATGTCCTTGACACAGTGGCATTCACAGTTCTTAGTCCCTGCTTATCAGGAACTGCTTGTGCAGGTGAACTTTTTGTTGTCATTGTATTCTCTAAAGTCTGCTTGCCATGACGCTTACTCTTTGCTATGGAAACAACATCATGCAGTCCTTTTTGCCGACGTTCCCAACTTGCAGCTTGCTCCATAGCAACTTCGGGATAAAGTTTCAGGAAACTAGGGTCGGGATTCTCTTTAAGTTTCCAATCTTTGAGGATTGTTCTCTCAACAGTTAGCACATTCATTACCTCTTTCATAGCTTTCTCAAAAGCAGGTACTGTGTCCTTCAACATTGACTTTTGTATAGAAGGCGATTTACTCAACAAAGACAGAACATAGTCCCTGGCCGGAAGTTTTATGCCTGACTCCTTTCCATAGACTAAAGCACTTTTTGGGACCCAAAGTCCTTGAACTAGTACGGCATGCTTTTGGAGAATTCTCAAAATTTCTTCTGGTGATTCTTCGGGGGCCAGATACCTCAAAGTATTGAAACGGTGAATAGGTGGCCCCTGTGTGTAGTTTTAACATATGTTTAATGCTACATGGACAAAGTGATCATTACCTTCTATGACACTATGCAGTAAAGAGTACAAACCTCAAGAAGCCAAGTTTTAATACGTTCTTCCACTTGTAATGTATTCAATAACCTGAAGCAACACCTTATAGTTAAATAAGTTTATACTGCAAAAGACATTATAAAACTTCATTTTTGTTATTTATTTATAATGACTTTAGTTGCAGAGTCAAACATATATGTGGTGATTAATGTTGCAAAAAGAAGTACATAACATAAAAGAAAATAGTCATTTCACCAACTAAATATGATTGAAGACAATGGAAAATGTTAAATATTTACTAAGAGCAAGGCACTCATAGTTAAGCTAGACTGCAGAGGGCACCTTGGTGGGTGGGCTTTGACTTTATCACTCTCCTCCATCACACGAGGACACATAGCGTTTATATAGTCGTACCTGTATGGGGGGCGAGCTGAAAATAATTAGGTATTCGAATAAAGAGTAACTTGGAGGCTTTTTTTAGCTCAAGCGCACAAAATATTGCAGGCTTGAAAAATAAAAATGTGAACCAGAATTGAAAAGGTACACACGGGCTCATGGAAAACTGTATCGAAGAGCCTTCGACCTCGACCATTTTTTTTAAATATCTAAATGAAGTGTCACTCTGTCCATGATGGTACTTGAGGCACACCCAAGACTGCAAATACAATAAAAGAGTATGACTTAAAAGATCACAAGATAATGTAGTAACAAATCTTTGAGTTATCACTATGAACAACTATAACAAAACCAATTCTTTGAGTAGGGATTGTATGGGATATGTATAGGAACCAAATATTTTCTTATTGGTTGAATACATAACTTTCCGCAAAAACAATGACAAGACTGTAAAGAAGACATAATACTGGATATTTTTCCTTCTACCTCTTCAATATTCTTGTCTTCCATTAGTTCCTGAGGTTTGGTCTGCACAAGAACATATGAATTTGAGAAAATAACAGAATTCAATAGAATCTTTTGAGCCAAATAATTAGGGTGGAAAAGCTATGTAAGTTGCCAGCGATCAAAATGCGCACATGCACACTTAATAGGCAAAGAGCCAAAGAGTACATTTGAACATTTACCCGAAACCTTACATCACACTTAACATTTTAACTTTAAAACTTTCATTAAAAAATCACACATAAAAACCAACTAATTGAAATAAATCTGACTGGGGAAGGGGTACAGGACTACTGGCCTGCTTGTTTGTGGATACTATAGGCTTTTGTTCCTTAATTCCTCCCGTCTTATCAGTTCCACTAGATGTAAGATGATGTGTTGCTGGTCGGAGTTGCACAACTGCATGAATGGGATTGAGGTGCAACTGCATGAAAAACAACACAATATAATACATGTGTTCCACAATGCATAATTTCATACCATTTAATAAACTTACATCTTAGCAACACCCAAAAACATAAAAAAATATTCTAATGACGCAAAATCGTTGGCCAAGGTTGATGTATTTGAATTTGACATTCTTTTTCATTCACTCAGTAGAAATTGAGCATATTACTCACTCCATTTACATTTTAGTACAAAACCTAAGAGTCCTCAAAGGGAAATGCTATAGTTGTCATCATGTGTGGCTTACTGGCTTTAAATCTTCATATGAATAGAATAATCAAAGTTACTTTCAACTTGCAAACTTGGTATATATTATTAGTAATCATATATTTTTACTTTTATGCAAGTCAGTGGTCGAGTGGATGCAGTTCATATTTTTCTTTCTGCATTTTGGGCTGCCAGGACGATTGCAAAGTATTACCAAAAGACTCACTACATCGAAAAAATGTTAAAGGGTGTTAAAGAATATACCTTATTGCCAACCAGTACCCCAACAGCATACCCGGTTGAGGAAGGAGTTGGTTTCCATGAAGTTGAAAGAGTCTAAAATGACCACAGATAATTAGAAAATGCAACAAAACAAAAACAAAAGTACATAACCAAGGAAAACTATCTTTAAAAAGTAATCACATGCATTTTCTGCGAACTGACAATTATTCATAAAGACCAGACAGTCCTCAATGCAACTAAACTTAGCATTTTATTGGTTTAACAACAGCAACTTTCTACGTCCTTTGAGAGATAGGGTTCATTATTCTAGAAAAAAGAAAATCAAACCAATTGAGTATGTTAACAAAGGAAGAAGCATTTATATTCCACTTATGATTGAAAAAAGGCTACATCAGGAAAAAGAAATCCAAAATGTAATTACTGATCATTAAAACCTCAAAACTTGTGATGTATGCAAGCACAATAAGCAGGAAACATCTTTTCTGACAATAGCACACAGAGACTGTTTCCGGATGACCCATGGTGAAAGTCGCGTCGAAAATTGTATGGACTTATTGTTACTTGATAACAAAGAAGTGCAGACATTTAAATGAACCATATTGCTTTATTTCATCCATTACATAATGAATAAAAGATAAAATGTATACATCTTTTCAGATATATAAGCAATATATTACTAGGTCTTCTAGCATAAAACAGTTGTTTGTGATTGCGCAATACAATTGCGCCTCGTGGAGCGGCTCAGTCAATTCCTGAACTATGGTGCAAAAAGGCATTGCCTATGGCATTGGGAGTGTGTTGTACGCAATATTGCATACACAATAAGACACTGGAAGGTGTGTGCAATAGGAGGTCAGGGTGTAAGGGTACTATTTAGGCCAATGCGGGCCACTTTTTAAATTCTTATACTCCGTAATTACTACTACGTATATTATGAGGTTATGATCTCTATTTCAAATCACTATATAGTGATGATTAATTTTTTCAACCATCAATCTAATAAACTTAAAATGATAATATGTTAGGATTTTTTATATAAACGGTTCAGAATTTTTGTGGTTTGAACTTTGTACTTTACTTTGCTAGGATTATGGCCTCACTATAATTATAATTTTTTTTAATATGACTTTTGATGAATAAGTTGTTTTCTTGTGTTTATACACACACAAACACAAATACAGATATGTGTGTGTGTCTGTATTGCGTAGTCAAGGAGTTTGTTTAAAATTGCATATTGCATAAGCCTCATTGGGCGATGAGGCATAATACACACACACAAACACACACACACACACATATATATATATATTTATTATGCCTCATAGCACAATGAGGCTTATGCAATATGCAATTTTAAACAAACTCCTCAACTACGCAATACACATTTTTTTCTTGCATAAACCCAAGCCTCCGGATGACAATTTATCTGATTCTCCATATTTTTAGCAAACAAATATATTGTAGCGTTGTACCAGTTTATTTTCTTAGACAACCAATGCATACATAATTTGACCGTAAAGAATATAATCTCTCCAAGGTTTTACTACACAGAAATTGCATCAAATTTGCGGGAATGGATTTAGAGTTTGGACTACAAAGGACAATGAATATGTTTTATTTAACCTTAGATAATTTGATTTAAATTGCAGAGGTTTTGATCCTCGAGGGTTCCATCCATGGAAACAACCTTCTCTCAATAAGGAAAATAAAAGAGGTTTGAAAAGAAATGGGAAACCTAAGGAACTGAAACAGTACCCAAGCTACCAAACCAAACCAAAATCTTTAATAAAACAGAATAAAATCAGAATCAAACCTGCTTTGTCATCTTCACTCTAGCAGCTTCATTACTGTCATAATTCTTGGAATCAAAATCAATTGCCAAATCAACTTCAACCTCTGAACTTACAGGTTTTACCCTCACCTGTAAATTTATGAAAACAATATCAGGCAATTGCTTATACAGAAGAATATTAAAATTTTAAAACTCAATGTTATTACTCACCTCTTTACACCTTTCTTCCAATTCATATGGTCTCCATTTTGGCCTCAACGGATACTGAAGGACATAAAGCTGACAACACACAAGTTACAATATAATGGAGTACATGATAATTTAAGTGCTACCATTAGAACACAAAACGGAATAAAATGTAAAAAAATTACAGAGTGTTACCTTAGTGTTAGGATCGGTGGAAGGAGTAAGATAAATGTCAATCTCTCGAACAACCTCATCTTCCTCCCCTTCACTGATCATTGGCTCGTCATGGTCTTGTTCTCTATTTCCATCATCTGGCTTCATATCCACGTCCATTTGTAGTCCATCGCTAGTACTGCCATCTTCTTCAAGTTTTGATTTAGGGATGTGACTAGTGACAGGGATGGTCTTGGAATCTAATTCCTCCTTTTTATCTATAGGAGCGGGATTAGGTTCCGGCAACACGGAATTGGAAGACGATACAGGTTCCTTCTTCACTTTGGATAATTGAGGTCCGGGTTTTGAACCCTTCGGCGCAAACCGCGATGGTCGAACTTGGGCCTTCTTCGGAGCAGCATCGAAGTCGTCTAAATCCGAATCAACCATGTTCTTCCCAAGCTTATAATAACACTAGTTGGAGACTTGGAGGAACTCCTATATACTCCGTAGAAGTTCGAGATCTAAATAAATGATCAGAAAGGGATATTAGTATTCTTGATTCCGGGTTGATGAGCCCTCTGCTCTGGAAGAAGTTAACCGATGATGGAACTGCTTAGCCGGCTGGTTACTGGCAAAGCCGTCGCGCAAACCAAGTTCAATAATAAAAAATACGGATTTGCCAGTAGGGTTTTAGTTTGTTATTTTTGCCGCATTTTTTCCGCCTATTGCATTCGTTGACTCTTTTGTTGAATGTAAATCATCCAACCCGCTACACTGGTCGGGTAAAACGGTGAAAATTGTGGATTGGATTTGTGGTCTATAAGTATCAAGTTCAACTTTTATGTGTTAGATAGATTGAAACTCTGGTGTCATAATTATTACGAGGTTCAATTCATGTCTATTGAGATGAGTTTTAGGCTATAACGCACGGAAACGGTTGGGGTGGGAGTTTGCCAGTATTGGAAAAGTTCGAACGTTTCTGATCGCACGTTTTAACAGAGGTCGTCACCTGCAGCACAGGTCGTCGTTCAGGTAACTTTCAGAGACTTTGAAATAGGTCCCCTTATCCCCTTCCTTCGTCGTTTTCGGCAGGTAGCTCGTCTTGTATAGGTCGTTGGCTATATTGTTCTGAGCTTGTAAGATTAATGATTTTTTCTGTAAATATAGGCTTCAATCCGCAATTCGTAGCCACCAGTCCAATATGTTGATCCCGTGGAAGATGCCTCCACTACAATTTAATTTGTTTTTATGGATGTTGTGTTTAATGTTTTGTTGTGGACTCAGGTTTCAATACCCTTTTATGGACTAAGATTTCAATAATTTTAGACTTCAATATGGACTAAGATTTCAATAATTTTAGACTTCAATATGGTGAAATAATCTCGTGTGGCATGATTGTACATATATATGTGTGTGTGTATATACAGATAAAAAAATTCACACACACACACACATATATATATATAGAGTAGTGTTCCGGAACTGCCATCCGGCCGACGGCTTTTGGGGCCCTTCCCGGTGGCTTTTTTTGATGACATTTTTAAGGCATGTTCTTCATCAAGTCTAGTTTATCCACACAAAAATTCAGCTAAAAACTCAATCCGGAAGGTCGTGAAATGATTTTTTGAAGTTAACTGCGCAAAAAAATACATATAAAACGCAGTTAACTTCCAAAAAAAAATACATATAAAAATGATTTTCTGAATTTTTTTGTGCCCTCTGCGTTTATCAAGTATTCAAGTAGGTTAACAATGTTTCACAAAATTATACAATGTTTAACAAATAATACAATGTTTAATCAAGAAAAAAGGTCTAAAAGAGTACTAAAAGCTAGAGTATACCTGGAGCTGGAGGCAGAGCCGCGGAGGGCAGAGTGGACTCGGTAACTCGGAACCGGAGAGGGAAGATGGTTGATGCAGAGCCTAGAGCGTGGAAGGTGGGCGGTGGCGCAGGTCGGCTGGTGTTCGTGTCTCCTTCTCAGTTCCTCTGTTTCCAAACTTACGCCAGTTCGCAAGGAGCTGAGGCCGCAAGTTTGTTTGAGTGGAATACTCTAGTAATAGGCTTGGGGTGGGCTGGGATTAATTTGGAGATGGGCTGTATATTTGGGCTATACCTATACTAATTAAAAAGAAAATTTTTGGGCTGGGCTAGAGCCCTGCCCGTTATTGCAGGGGGTCCGTTGTTTGACTGAAGTGACTCTGATTCTGACCGGCTGAAGGTGACCCGCTTTTGGCCGATGTGAGGCTTCACCGAGGGGTAGAAGAAGGGTGACCTGGGATGATGGAGGTGCAACTCTGTGTTGTTTTTGTTTTTAAATTAATTAAATACATTATATATAATAAATGGGCTAAATAAATACATGGCCCTATAACTAAATTAAACATACAATTACAAAGATAATTAATGCAATTTGACACAATAAAATAATTCCTAACAGTTATTGATGATGATTGTGATGTTATTAAACTCTAGCAACCCGGTCGCTCCGGGGCTGTGGTTCAAGTGGGAGGTAGAGCGCAGATATTATGTTTATATCTATATAGAATACGTTAATATTGTTAGATGTTGTGTGCGGTAATATACAAATTACATACATACAAGATGCATGACATACATGTCATATTTTAGTTGGACTAACTTGTGCATTATAAAATAAAAGAAAAAACTTTTAACAAAATCCACACCAATAATTGTATAGGGACCTGGTTATTTAGATGTACATGGCATACATGTTTATTTATATATATGTTATTCATTATATTTAAGTTAGTAAAAAAATGAAAATAAAATAAAATCAACTATTTAATATATATGAAATATTTACGTAAGTATTATGGTCACTTTTAGAGCAGAACATTTAGAGCAGAACATATGTCATCACTTAGTTAGATTAGGCAGCACAATATATTTCCTACGTGATTTTAGGAAAATTAATTAATTCTTGATTTTATTAGTTATTTAAATTACTATACGTAAGAAATAATGATAAAAAGAATCAAAGTCTATATTTCCTGAAAAGCTTTACTCTTGGTCTGATACTTTGACGTGGATACTTCTGTTCTATTTAGTGTACTATGTACATTCCTGAAATTCTGTTTTAGAGGAATTAGTGCTCTCCTGTTTAGTATACTCCGTACACTCCTGAAATATTTGTAGAGCACTATTACTCTCATGTTAAGGTCTAGATCTCTTCAGTGATCTCGTCCTTTCTGTTCAGCTAGCTTCTGTTAGGAATTGGTACGTGTAGCTCCATCTGACGATTACGTTTCCATATCCTTCCTGGGTAATGTGGGAACAGATTTTGTGACTCCATTCCTTACCGTTAGTATACCGGCTGGGCAAATGCACACACCATTACCGTTGAATATCTTACATTTTGGACATCAAATTCCGACTTGTATACTACGTACTTCATATGTTCTCTTTTAATTGCAACAATCAACATTTCATGTTTGCCAATTCACAAGTTTAACCATTAATATCTTTCATTCCATATTAGTAAAAAAATTAAAAAATTCATATTTTGAAAATTTAGAATGAAAAGAATTTAACAATATTTTTTAAAAATTTAATTTATAATACATTAATTAATAAAATATAGTCAAAGTAGAATATGTGAATAGTGTAAAAAGTCCGATGTTGCAATTAAAAGAAAACGAAGGTAGTACTACCTCCGTCCCATAATTCACTTCCAAAATAAAGTGGCACGCAGATTAAGAAAGTGAGAACTGTGTGGTGGAGAGTTGTGCAGAGAAGAGAGAAATGCTGTGAACCACAAATTCTTTGCCAAAAAAGGAAAGAGAAGTTCTTTTTGGGACGGACGAAAAAGGAAAGTTGGAAGTATTTTCAGGGACGGATGGAGTATATGATTACCCGAACCAAATGTGCCCTAATTACATACTCCGTACATGATGTTGCTATGTTCTTTTTGGGATGTGTGATAATGGTTCACATTTGACGCAGGGCGGCCATAGGGGCAATTTACCCTAGACAAATAATGTCTAGGGCCCCCAAATTTTAGGGCCCTCCATTTTTTAAATTAAGTCCAATAGTATTATGTATGTGTATTCAATTTTAACTGTAAATATTTAATTAAAAATTAATACCTAATTAAAAAACTGCAGACGGACTATTAAACGATTTGAGGGTGGAAGACACGAAGTCTCGAAGAATCGGGGAGTGATCGGTGACCGGCGACTGGCGTGGCGGCGTCTCAACGTCGGGTGCAGATTACAGTGGCAAGCTGCAAGCACTCCAACCAAGTTCAAATTTAGGTGATTAGTTCTTTACGTTTTTTCTTTGTTAGATTTAGTCGGCTAGGACAGTAGGGCCTACGGTCTTGATATACGATAGTATTCTAAATATCTTGAGGTATTAAATAATTGAAATAGTAATTTGTTATTTTGATTTATTGAATACTTATCATCTTTTATTAGTGATCGATTAAACTTGGTGAAATAAATTTATATTTATGAACCATTAACTTAAATAAAACTTAGTTAAACGTAGCGTGAATTAACTTTTAATTATATCATTGTGTTAAATAAAACATACTATCTCTTCCCGAAAAGGTTTGTCATGTTGACTTTTTTAATCAATGATGGCAAACTTTGGACAATATTTGTATATAATTTATAAATTTTAAAATTTTATGAAATTATTTTGAATAAGGAACATTTTGATACAATTTTCATATTCAAAATAATTTCATAATAAAATATAATACTTCTTCCGTCCCGCTAAAATTGTCTCATTTTACCTTTTTGGTTTGTCCCATTAAGATTGTCTCATACCAAATTTAGTAAAGTTTGTATGACTCTAAATCATTCTTACTTTATCAATTCAATATCAACCACATAAATCACTTTTTATTAGTTTACATGTCACTCCCTCTTGTCCCGTTGTTAGTGGAACGGGGGAGTATATCATTGCTCAAAGTTGATTGTCATTGACATAAAAAATTCAATTTAGCAAACCTTTTCGAGACAGAGAGAGTATTTAAACAAAATTTCTATATAACTGTCTAGGGCCTCATAATTACTCTAGCCGGCCCTGATTCAACGTTATCTTATGAATCACATCATATTTGTAAATACGACTTAGTTAACTTCAAGTCTGGTAATGCATCACAAACCTTTTGCACATATATGCTTATCATGTAACCGTAAATTGTTAAAATGAATAATATATTAATTATATCAAATTTTATATTAAGGGGGTACGAGATCAAACTCCCGATCTCTAAGGGTCAGTGGATACTGTTGGGGGATATTATCCCGGCCAACTACTGTTCAGGAATCCAGGGTATCGTCCCAGTACGGAGCCCGAATGACGAGACCCATTTCAGCCTATTAGGCCGGTTTCGGCCCTTTGGACTCATTTCAGCCTGTTTGGCCGGTTAGGGTGGCCTTGCACCCCCTTTTTCATTCCCCTATAAATATAAGGTTTTCCCTCCTTATTAGGGATCCCTTTTTGGCTTCTCCTTCTATCTTCTCCCTCTTTAGCATAGAATAACTTAATACTCCATTAATGGGAAGCTCACGTACTTTATAATGATGAGAAGAGTATTAATGAGAAAGAGAGGGCTTGGACATTAGCCCAAAAAGTCCTGTGATTTTCTTCTTTTTGGGTTTGCACGTAAAAACAGAGTGTTCATACTGCATTTATATCTATATGTTGAGTTTAATCCAACACAATATAATATATATAGATATAAATATATATGTATGAATATGCTATTTTTACGTGGAAACCCGAAAGGGAGAAAACCACGGGACTTTTTAGGCTAATGTTCAAGCCCTCCCATTCTCATTAGACTCTCCTCACCATTACAATGTACATATATTCAAGCTCCCATTAATGGAGGGTAAAACTATCTTTAGAGGCAAAACTCCCTATTTATAGACAAAAGGGAACGAGGGCACTCCACCATAATGGGCCAAACGAGCCAAGATGGGCCTGTTGGGCCAAAGTGGGTCGGATGGCTGAAACGGCCCTCACTCATTGGGCTTCGTACTGGGTAATGTCCCGGGCTCCTGAACAATGGTAGGTCGGGATAATATATCTCAACATATATAGTTAAATTTCAAACAAGTTTCAAAGTGGGGGAGTATTATGAGATGTCCCTTAAGGCGTACCATTAGGCTAAGACATCTCCAATGCAGAGATGGATTGTTATTCCATATCAGCCAATAGACTATTTGTTTATAAATGTAGTCTCCGATCTAAAACATGTAAAGCTAACCATGCTAAGTTGACAACACAAAAGATAGACAAGGTCTAGCATGAGGTCCATACAGAGACCTTCGGCCTCACCTTTGATGGAACAACAAAATCAAATATTAAAATGTAATAATGCTTGGTAGTGGTGGGTAATTGGCCAACTTTGTCTTTCACATTTCATTTTTATTTAAGTTTATAATATTAACTTTTAAATTTCTTTTGCATCGGAGCACAACTTGTATTGACTATAATAATTTATAAGAAAATTGACCCACACACTAAATGAACTCTTTCCATTTATTGCACCACAACATTGGAGATGCTCTTAAAGAAAGATTTGATTATGTTGACTAAAACTAAACGTACACTTTTTAATAAAAATACAAATGACAATAAAGGCTAAAGGACAATATTTATATTATTCCAAAATGTCGTTTTTTGGCAAATGGCAACCAAGCATACTAATCACCTTGAAAACTCTTCCTTTGGAGGTCTTCATTTTGGGAGCCCTTAAAGAAAAAGATTTGAATAAAAAAATGTATGCACAAATCTATTGTTCCATCGTTTACTTTAAGTTTGGTATCGAGGGTCTCAGAGGGGGCAAACTCAAAGGACAATGCTTGTCATGCTCACGCCGATTTCTGACACCCTTACTTGAATTCGGAACTGAAATATCCTAGTAAATACAGTTATAGTCCTTAACATACCTCATCTAGGTCACTTCCGATCTAAGTCCCTTTAATAGCAATCCAGGCCAGATATTCTACCGCCCAATTTCGATCTGAATCCTGAACCGAGACCACCAAAACCGGCAAACCAGGACCACTCTAGTTTCAGTGAGCCTTTCGAAGCTCTTCTTTTTTTCAACAACTTAACTTTTCCAGCTTTAATAAAAAATCTAGTGAGCAAGTTATTTTTTAACAAAAAAAAAGATTGACACTTCTGCACTTTATCTTTCGACTATTGCATTGTATATTGGGGTGTTTGGAACTGATTCTGATTCTGCTTCTTTTTTAACGTAGAAGCAGAATCAGAATCAGTTTTCAGAAGCTGATCACCCCGAGCTTCTAAAAAAACTGATTCTAGGAGTAAATTAGAGCACCAGAATCACTTCTGCACTTTTACCCAAACACTCCAACTTCTGCTTCTTCTCCCTGAAGGAGCAGAAGCGGTTTTAAGGATCAAATCCAAACACCCTCATTCTTTACTTCACTAAAATTTATTTTGCATAGTTGCATACATTGTCATATCTTTAGTTCTTTACAACGCAACCAACTTCGGCTTTGTGTATGCCAACAAGTTTTACCCAAATGGCTTTACTATTGAAAGCAGAACCTCATTACAAAAACAGGTTTCATATATAGAAATCGTTTGATAAAATACACAAATTGCTTTTATGAACTCCATATAAAAGCGGCTACTTTTTCGGTCACCGCGCTTGGCTAGTGGCATTATCTAAGCCGCATCAAACCTATGAAGCAAATATTTGTGGTGATTAATTAAAGGCTGAGTTTGATATGCGGAAAATGGAAGGGAAATGAGATTAGTGTCATGGAATGGTATTTTTATGTCAGGTTTGCCTTAGAAAATAAGAATGAAAATAGAGTTGTTTTTTACTTTTTAGAATTTTACATTCACTTGGATTTCAAAGTCATTCTATATTGTAACTAGCATATGAAAAATTGACAACAATAATCTCAACTATTGATGATCCGCTTGAAATAATTCAAACTATCAATTATTTCAAAATAATCCTAACTATTAGAAAAATTCTCAAAATGCTTTGCTTGCTCATGCATATTATAAGCGATTTAAAGGTTATTTTAAGTCATTGGAGCATTTTGAGAAATTTTTTCAATTGTTGGGATTATTTTGAGAAAATTGATACTTGGGATTATTTCAAGCATATATCACTAATAGTTGGGATTATTCATGTCCATTTTTCTTGTGAAATACTCCCTCCGTCCCGAAAAGGTTGACCAAATTTCCTTTTTTGGATGTCCCAAAAAGATTTGTCATTTCCATTTAAAGTAAGGAATATGTGGCTAAAATTAATTCTCCCCCCTCTGCACAAATTTCAACCACACAGTTTTTACTTTATTAATCTACGTGAAAGTCAACTTTGACCAACCTTTTTGGGACAGAGGGAGTATGAATATATTGAGTATGAACAAATAAAAAAACTGATTTACTAAGCTTGAAGCACTTCTTAAATTTTCCGCATATTTTCTTTGCTTCCAAATTTTCCCTCTATTTTCATTCCTTAACAGCCAAGTTCCAATCATAGCCAATGTGTCTTGTTCGAAGAGAATCATACGTAGTATGAAAGAGAGATTATGGGGCTGTCAAGAAATATAATAAGCAGAACAAGTAGCTTTGAAGTTCACTTATTCAACTAAAATGATTTTTACCGAACATTGCCCCCTTCATAACAGGTTCAAATGGCAATCTGTAATGCTCTTTGCTCGTCAAAGCAACAACATCCATAGTCCTCTCATGGAAGCAATCAGAGAACGCGATAAACTCCACGGGAGGATTGTTGTCCTTGGCGGGATGTGAATATCTCTGGAACTTCCTGACAAATTTAATTGCAACTTCATTTTAATTTTTTTTTCTTAAATCAACAGAATCAGCCAATGCAGCCACTTCAGTCAGAATTTCATAAATTTCAACAGAATCAGCCAAATCAGTCGATTTTCGTGCTACCAAACGGGCTCTTTATGTTTATGTATTCATCAACATAAGAGCTTCTCCCTGACGGTTAGCTACTTACCCCATAGCTTGACTAGCCACATAAGCATTTGCACCAAAATGAAAATGTACTCCAATAGTTAGATATATCTTCTTTGTCTTCATTTATTTTTAATAATGCTATATTTAATAAATCTCTTTGTTCAAGCTAGTAGCTCGGTTTGGCTAATTAGCTTTTTCAAGCAAAAGAAAAAAGTAGGTCTGAGACCGGTTCAGTTCTTACATTAAATTAGTGGAACCGTTACGAAAAACTTAACTAATCAAATCGGTTCGGTTCCCATATAAAATTTCAAGAACCATTATAGAACCGAATCAATAGTAAACGATTCAGTTCTTACTTTTATCGGTTCCTAAGCATAAATTTTTTCCATAAGAAATCAACACAATTTACTTTCTGCAACGCAAAAATGTCGGAAATTCAAAACACAAGGAATAAGTACCTTTTGAAGCTCTTATCATTTCAAACATCAAGTCCAATCTTAATTTATTCAACACTTAATAGAATGAAATAATATTTGAATTTTGTTTGTAAATAAAATATGAAAAATAGTCATTGTTGTTTGATATCAATAAAAGTTGGGTCATCATAGTAGAATAAGACGTCTAGTTCAAGTTCCTCAAAACGTGAAAAAACATATTGAATACGCAAGTACAGATATAAACATCCACTACTACATTTTTAGACCTAATGTAACATTAGAGATGTAACATATCTATAATAGTGTTACCTATTTCTCTAATGTAACACTTTTTAGACCCAATGTAACACTTTCTAGAAGTATAAGTGTTACATTAGGTACTATAAAGTGTTAGAATATGTCAAATGCAACACCAGCAAATGTAATGGTAAAACAATGTTACATTTTCTCTGAAAAGTGTTACATTAGAGAAAATGTAACATTTTTTTACCATTACATTTGCTGGTGTTGCATTTGACCTATTGTAACACTTTATAGTACCTAATGTAACACTTATACTTCTAGAAAGTGTTACATTAGGTCTAAAAAGTGTTACATTAGAGAAATAGGTAACACTATTATAGATATGTTACATCATTAATGTTACATTAGGTCTAAAAATGTAGTAGTGATCATTACATTCCAAATCCTAGTAACATTATTTACACTAAATCTCACAATTACAATCATCTTGAATATTGTAAAGAAAAATTACGATAGTATATCAAACCAACATGAATTAATTTGGTTACTTTTATAATTATGAAATTTTCGTGATAGAACAAAATATGTTTTGTAAAAAAACGAGGTTAATGTATTCATCCTCATTCGATTTCATCAATTAAATTTAAATTATTGTGCGATTAAATGTCATCAATTGTATTGTTATTACTTTTATTGTTACTATGATTATTGTTATTGTTAATGTTATTATTGTTATTGTTATTATTATTATTATTATTATTATTACTACTACCTGTTATTCTTTAACGGTTTCGTAGGCATATTTTTGTAAAAATCAGGAACCGAACTATTAACAAAGACTAAGAACCGAATCGTTAACAATTTATAACTCATTTGTAGGAACCGGACTGAACCGGATATTAAGGATTTGTTTGCAAAGGTTTTCCCGTTTTTTGTTCCAAAGTTCCACCCCCCAGAAAAAAGAATGCTGTTAACCAACTAATGAAAGTGTTTGGTTACTTAGCTTTTTCAATTGGCTTTTTGCCCCAACAGCCAAAATATGGAAACGCCAACAATTGTAGCATTTTCAATCGGCTGTTTCACAACTTTCCTATGTTGCCCATGTATTTTACCGTATTTGGCTTCTATTAGCTAGAGAGAGAAAATTTATGTGAAAGAAGTCTTCTCCTACATTTCCTACATTTTCTGCTCCTTCAAGTTTGCCTACTGACTTTTAAGAAACAAGGATGATTTAACGAGATGATAAGCATTGAAAAGAATTTGAGTCAAGTTAGTCAACCTCAAAGGCACAACCAATAAAAAAAATTGAAAATAAGTAAAGAATGAAGACCACCATGAAACCATAAGCTTCCTTTCTATAGAAGATTCAAGATTGTATTGATAAGCATGAGATGACAATGTATAAAATAATTATTATGTAGTAGGATACATTTTTAAAAAAAAAAACGGGTTAAGAATTTGTAGTATTTATATCAATAAAAAATTAATTGATGTCCTTAAACGTCATTTAACAAGTTATCAGCCGATTATAAACAACTATTTAACCAAACACCATTTTACAAACAGCTAACCTCATCAACTAATCAAAACAGCTAACTGAATCCGCTGTTATCAATCGGCTAACGCAACCAGCCAACAGCTAACAGCCAACGGCCAATTGCCAAACACCCCCATTATTATTACTACGGATATGTTTAGCACAACTAGCTGAAAAGATACTTTAATGAGCTTTTTAATAACTGTTAGCTTTTAGTGATTGAAAAGATCTTAAAAAGAAAAGTTGATAGATATTTGGTAAAAAACCAACTGTTTGATTTAGTTCGATTTGGTATACAAGTTGTTAGGACTAATTAATAGTAAAAGTCATGAGCTTTTCTCAGATACTACTCCCTATAACATTTCAAAAAAGATCTTTTAATTTTTGAAACGTTCTTATAAATTGTATTGTTATAATAGTAAATATACAACTAAAAGCTTTTAGAGACTTTTGGATTTGGAGTGGTACAATATCAAATACAGTACTTACTATCGACAAACATCACCATTCAACCACACGAACAGATGCTCTAAATCTTGCCGGTTCCTTCCACTCTCATTCATTACAACTTTCTCCATTGTCCAATTTCCTTTCCAAATTCCAGTCAATCAATCATGACCTGTTCAACCAACCTTTCCGTCAAGCACAATCCTCTTTCACCGGCGGCCCTTAATCTACACCACTCGAGCAATATCCTCCCCAAATACCGGAGCCTCTCGACCCTGCCTCGGAATGGCGACGGAAGGGTCACGGCGTGTCTTAACTTGGAAACGCGAGCACCCGATGCCGAGACGGCGAAGTTCGTCATCGGAGAAAAGAGCAGGACGATCATGGACGAGTCTGCTAGGTTCCTGGTGGGGACTTATGCCAGAGCTCCCTTAGTCCTGTCCAGTGGCAAAGGCTGTAAATTGAAGGATGTTGACGGGAGGGAGTACTTGGATTTGACCTCCGGGATCGCCGTCAATGCCCTTGGCCATGCCGATCCTGATTGGCTCCGGGCGGTTACTGAGCAGGCTAGAACCCTAACTCACGTCAGCAATATGTATCTTTCACTGCCGCAGGTAACTTTTTGCTTTTCTTTTTTGTGTTTAATTTTAAAGATTTATCAGTAACCATAATTTTGCTTTTTTTGCTGATATTAGATCTACAATTTAGGTAAAAACTTGATTTGTGAGCTGTTTCAATTCTGAGTTGATGCATACTGAAACATAAAGGCTATGTTTGGCAACAACATTCAGCTCATAAAGGACTGGAATTTCTTAAATTCAGCTATTAATTTAAAAAGTAGACATGTTTGGATGTGAGACTAGATCAGGCTGAAGCTGGAAATAATTGACTGAATAAAAACGTTACTGAACGAAGCGTTTGCATTCAGTAGAGGGTGCAATGCCCCTCTATGACTAAACTGTCCCCGTAAGATGAGAAATTTGATCCAAAACCGATCTTCAACTGAAATACAACTCCGTTTACAAAGTGGCCGAGTTTGCTAATTAAAATCGTCTTCTCCAATAATTTATTGGCTAGCTGCTGTTAAAGAGCATGGATTAGACTTGTTGGAAAAATATTATCTATTCATCTTTTGCCGCATGTTCTTTTCTTGAGTTTAATGTTCTTCTCCAAAATGCAAGTTTGAAATAAATAATACAATTATACAAACAAGCATATGCTCTTCTTTCAAATAATTTCCCCCATCTGATCTTTATATTTATAAATATGTACTATATGTATATACTACAATCGCAGCATTTATAAAATATTCATATATACACGCAAAACAGTGCCAAACAATGTCAAACAGTGTCACAACAGTGGACTCTATAGTAAAGTCAAATTTATTTCCTTAATTTGTGTGAAGTCAAAGTGTGAAGTTTATTTAGGACCGGAGGGAGTATAAGTTACCACACGAATGATTAAAATCATAAATACTCCTTTTAATCATTCTTAAGATTTACGTAGTACCATTAGCAAAATGTTAGAAGACATTCTTTTGGATGACCCATTTTGAAGTTTTATTTTAATTTCCTTACAATCAGGTATCACAAACTTTAAGATAGAAATATCTCATAGAATTATTCAACAAAACGAATTATTTTGAACTTCCCAAGTTTAATTCTTCATAAAAAGCTGATTCTACTATAGGAAATTAGGTACTTAACTTGAATTACTTCAACCATAGATAGTGATTACTGAGAAGCAAAAACCAATTGGACAAAAACTAAGAAGGAAAAAGTACTTTGGTAGAAGCACCCTACTCCATGAAACAGAAAACAAAAGAATCCTATGAGGAGGAGTCTTCTTAATTGCAACTGTGGTATAATCTCATACTTCATTGGAAAGCAGACATGGTAGTGGGTTAGTTTACAAAAGAGAAAGTCAACCTAGAAATTGAAAAACAGGAAAGTAGACATGGTAGTGGGTAAAGACTGAATCTCAATAATAGAGATACTATTTTAGCATTGAGAAGTAAAAAATTTAAGCAAAGTTAAAATACTTGACTTCATATCTTTGGGAGACGATAAAACTAAAAGATACGAAACCCAAAACTAACATGTCACCATAGGTATACCTAACTTATTTAAGATCATTGTTTGAATTCCTTGGAGTTTATATGACATTTTTTGTGCTTGTGTTGATTCACTGTGGACATATATAATACTCCCTCAGTCCCATTTTGTAAGATACTTTTCCTATTCACTTGATCAACACAAATCACTCGTAATCTATTACTTTATATATCAAATTTTTATCGAATTTGATTCTGGTTTTTGCTACTTTGTAAAGCTTTTAATATAGTTTCTGAATATGTAATTCTTTTTTTGTAAAAATAATTTGAGTGCGGATAGAGATCCGTTTGCTTTATCGTCGGTCAAACATTGTAAACCGTAAAGTGCCTTACAATTCGGGACGGAGGGAGTAGTAATTACTCAAGCAGCTACAATCACAAAAAAGAAAATGAGGCCCTTCCGTGTGGATAAAAGAACTACGAATATAAAAAGTAATAAATAAACGTAGCAAATTAAGCTGTTATATAAATCAATAATAAGCCTAAGTCCTCTTCCAAACGATTCTTTGCTGAAAGTAGAAATTCAGGTTGTATATGTATGTATCGTCTACTTCCAGACACTGTAATTTTCACCCTTTAATATAGCCCAAGAGCACAATCTTCTACGGAGTATAAATACAACTACAGTTTTGAAATCAAAACAGTTAGCATCTTTGGTACAATGCTGGAGATAAAATTTTAAAATTAGGAATTTATAAATTTATAAATCTTAAATAAACAAATCCGACCTTGTAAATTGTATGTAGCAAATACCATCTCCCTGGATATGAAGCTGATTTATTGATTCCAAATAAATCTATGATTCTAAATCTGAACTTGAAAATCAAATTGCTGCTTGAACTCATTTCGAATTGAAGCTGGATAAGGAGTTTTTATTCGAATTGATGCGTCTGTCTTCTGCTTCATGTCCTGGCTTGCTTGTTGTTTATAAGAAGCTTGAGAAAATGGACGGAGATTGATACGCTAGCGGGAGAAATTATTTAGGCGAGAAGCAATAAGAGAGAGGGGAACAGGAAATGGATGAGAGGCGTGAAAATGGGGTAGAAGCGGGAGAAGGGAAGAGGATGGAATGCGAATAATAAGAGGATAAATGTACGGTGAAGATTTCATTTTAAGTTGGAATGGATGTTCATGGGTGGGAAAAGATGAGTGGCATAGTAATGACTGAGACTTTATCTGCTGTGGTATTATTAGAAAGTGAACTCAGATGAAATGAAGAAGATTTCAATTATATTGATTACAAGAGTCAATACAAGTATTTATAGTAGAATGCAAGTAACTAACTCTAACAGCCTGTATAACAGCACTAACAGCCTAAGGTATATCTAGAAGGTTCCAAGCTATTTACAATAAACGTATGTAACATTATTTTATATTCCTAACATTCCCCCCTCAAACTTAGGGTGATTGATTTGGAAGGTCTGTCAATCACACTAAGTTTGGTTTTTAACTCAAGAAAAGAAGATGCAGATAAAGCCTTTGTCAGAATATCAGCAATTTGTTGGGAAGCAGGAATATGGAACACTTCAATCTGCTTGGACTGAACCTTCTCCCTCACAAAAAAGAGATCAATCTCCATGTGTTTTGGGACGTCCCCAAAGTTTTTTGGGACGTCCCTCCGTCCCTTAAAACTTTGCCATCTTTCCTTTTTGGGACATCCCAAAAAACTTTGCCACTTTCCCTTTTAATCAATTATTTTGTGATTTCTGTTATTTCTCTCTCCTCTCCTCTGCACAAACCTCAACCACACAGTTTTTACTTTATTATTCTCCGTGCCGGTCAACTTTGGCAAAGTTTTAAGGGACGGAGGTAGTATTGTTTTTCTACCTCTGTTTTAAGGAGACCACTAGAGAGAATTACTGATCAATAAATCAATTATGGGGTTATAACGATTATATGAATCTGCTTTGTGTATGCAGGTTGAACTGGCAAAACGCCTTGTTTGTCTCTCTTTCGCTGACCGTGTATTCTTCTCGAATTCTGGAACCGAAGCAAATGAAGCTGCGATTAAATTTGCCAGGAAGTTCCAGAGATATTCACATTCCGCCAAGGATGACAACCCTCCCGTGGAGTTTATTGCATTCTCCAATTGTTTCCATGGGAGGACTATGGGTGCTGTTGCTTTGACAAGCAAAGAGCATTACAGATTGCCATTTGAACCTGTTATGCCAGGAGTTACTTTCTTAGAGTATGGCAATATTCAGGCAGCAACCGAACTGATTCAGAGTGGAAGAATTGCTGCAGTATTTGTGGAGCCTATCCAGGGAGAAGGGGGCATATATAGTGCTACGAAGGAGTTTTTACAAGCCCTGCGTACTTCTTGTGATAGTGTTGGTTCACTTCTTGTGTTTGATGAGGTATGCAATCAATCTATTCTAATCAAATGCACAATAGATATTTACACTTCCATCTTTGGTGTACACTGTGTACAATAGTATTGTCCACAAATGTTTTTTGTATGGAGTGGCTGGAGTGAGAGAAACTCAAGGCTCCATGTCACCAATTTCACCATAACTGGTGTTTCACTAATTCCAGCATAATTGGGGTTTAGGGGATGTTGATTATGTTATGATAATATGATCCCAACTATACCCTTGGAATTGAGGTGGAATATGGTGATAACAACATCGTTTATGATCATAGTAGGTGTACAATACTACAATTTAGTGTCTAAAATTAATGGTATTAAAGTTATGGGAATTTGTCAAAGTTACCCCAAAAACTTGAACTGTTGGGGGCATTAAACTTTTGGAGGATAGTGTGGAAAAAAGTATCCCCAAAATGTACCCATTGTGTGCATCTAATTGTACACTTAGAACTATTCTTGTTTATTTACATTGGATGGTCCTAAGTCCTACATATCCTTTGGTCTTATGCAAAATTAATGAGTTGAATCATAAAACCCGATTGGTATGTGGTATTTAGGTGAAATGACTTGAATCCGAGTTTTGTGGAAGAGCAATAGCAATGTTCAGTAAAATCTATTTTAGCCGAATAAGTGAACTTCAATGCTACTTGTTCTGATTATTCTATTCCCTAAGAGCTCCATAATATCTCCTTCATGTGATTTTCTTGGAACAAGACACATTGGCTATGTTTGGAACTTGGATGCTTAGGAAATATTCTATTCTCTAAGGAATGCAAATACAGGGAAAATTTGGAAGCAAAGAAAATATGCGGAAAATTTAAAAAGAGCTTCAAGCTCAATAAATAATTTTTTTTGTATCTATACATACTCAATTTATTCATATATGTTCATATTACAGTGTAGAATGACTGACATCTAAGTGTAAAATTCTAAAAGGTAAAAAAAAAACTCTATTTTCATTCTTAAAACCATTGCAAACCTGACATAAAAATACCAGTTTCCATGACATTGTTCTCATTTCCCTTCCATTTTCCGCATGTCAAACTTAGCCTTTAATTAATCACCATAAATATCTGCTTTATAGGTTCAATGCGGCTTAGGACGAACTGGTCATCTCTGGGCTCACGAGTCTTACGGCATATACCCAGATATAATGACACTAGCCAAGCCTCTTGCTGGAGGTCTACCTATAGGAGCCGTGTTGGTGACGGAAAAAGTAGCTGCAGCAATAAACTATGGAGACCATGGTAGCACTTTTGCCGGAGGGCCCCTGATCTGCCATGCTGCAGTTACTGTACTGGACAAGATTTCAAAACCAGAATTCCTGGCTGGCGTTTCTGATAAAGGACACTATTTCAAAAAGTTGCTTGTCAAGAAGTTGGGAGGAAACTCACACGTGAAGGAGGTTAGAGGGGTGGGGCTTATTATCGGCGTAGAACTTGATGTGGCGGCAGCACCGCTTGTGGAGGCGTGTCAACATTCTGGTCTGCTGGTTTTGACGGCAGGGAAAGGGAATGTTGTGAGGCTTGTGCCTCCTTTGATCATCTCAAAGGAAGAATTAGAGCATGCAGCTGACATTTTAGCTGACTCTTTGCCTGCATTGGACAAGTTCACCTAAGTTTATCTGTAGCATACTTATTATACGGATTACAAAGTATATAAAAGCAATTTGTATCCGTTTCATCAAACAATTTCTATATATGTAACCTGTTTTTGTAATAAGGCTCTGCTCCAATAGTAGAGCCGTTTGGGTAAAACTTGTTGGCATACACAAAGCCGAAGTTGAAGTTGTAAAGCTATGACGGTGTATGCAACTTTGTAAAATAAATTTCAGTGAAGTAAAGAATATGCAATGAAATAGTCGAAAGATAAAGTGCAGAAGTGTCAATCTTTTTTTTTTTGCTTAAAAACTCGCTCACTACATTTTTTTAAAAAGATGGAAAAGTAAAGCTGTTAAAAAAACTGAGCTTTGAAAGGCTCACTGAGACTAGAGAGGTCCTGGTTTGTCGGTTTTGGTGGTCTTGGTTCGAGATTCAGAGTGAAATTGGGCGGGTAGAATACCTGTGATAGAGTATTAACTCTTAGAGAGGAGGGAGAGCTAGAGAGAAGTGCAATAAGTTATGCAGTAAAAGTATTTGTCAACCCTTCATAACTACCTCCAAAGGGAGTATTTATAGGGAAAATATGGGCTGAGCTCCCAAACCTTGAGCTTGGGAGGCCCATTATAATATAAGCCCTCTAATGGGCTGGATACAAGAATTTGACCAAGTATAGAAATGTTCGATCTGTGTGGTCGACGGAGGCACTGACCGACGTAGGACACGTCTTCTCCTTGGCTTCTGGATCGTATTCTGGATTGACTCTTCTTTGGCCGATGGGGTGTCATCTGGCCGATGGAGGACCCACTGGATGACAGTTGTGCTCCTCTTAGTCTTCTGAGTATGTGGGTCATGGGGTCTGGACCCATATACTCCATCAGGAGTCTCTCACTCACTGAGCTGAGATGTAGACGAAGTGAAAGGGAGTAGATTCCTGTTGTTTTGATGCTTTTGACCGACGGAGGATCACCCGGGAGTTCTAGTGTTCCTGGCCGAGGCAATGCCATAATTGTTGGCTGTCTTTTGTCCTTCATTTCGAGGACGATGGATGTCCTTCATTTCGAGGACGATGCGCGGTCTCAATCGTGAAAGTGACATGACCTCTCTTTGGCCGTCGTTAGCTGCCTTTTGTGCTTCTGGCCGAGGAGGCACCATGATTTTTTTTGGTGCTCCAGGCCGAAGCGAAATCATCCGTGGTTTGGTAGTTTGATTCGTAGCGTGGACGATGGAGGTCCTTACCAAGTGGACGTTGCGCATCCATGGTTTTTGAGGATGATGGAGTTGTTTATCTCGCATCGGATGACGAGGGCGTCCCTATGAGATGCGGGGCCCCGGAGGCAAATCATTGTCGACGAAGGTGATTGCCTCCGTCTATTGCTTCTTCGACTAGGGAGGAACATGGGATACATCTCCAATGTATAGGGACTGAGCCCGTTTCTTTCTCTGGGTGGCGGAGTCCCCCCCCCCCCCCCCCCCCCCGTGTTTCCTCCAACGATGTGGTGGATGTGATTCTTCTTCGGTGTCTATTCCTCGAAGTCCTTGTCATCGTTGAGCCTCCCGATTTCATGTTTCTTCGTAGAGGTCTCCCCCTTATTGTCGGTGCTCACCCAGGTATTTTTCCGTGGGGCTTTAACAAATTTGGTGAGTTCCCCCTGCCAAATCAAACGTTCAATGGCTCGCTTCAACATGACGCAATCGTCGGTGTTGTGGGAAGTGTTCTTGTGATAGTGGCAGTAGGTGCCACTCTGGTGGACGGCGTAGACCTCCTTCGCTGATCGGGGATCTTTGGGGATGAGATCATGTTCCTCTGCGTAGTCGAGGATGGTGCTGACCGAGTGTGTGAGGGGAGTCCTCGGCTTGTCCATCCTCGGGCGCCATGAGCGCTCCTTCTTGTTTTGTCCACCGGACCCCTGGCGAGCTTGTCCTCCCAGACCTCGGTCCTAGGCCGAGGATGCGTCTGGAGCTGGCGCATGGTTTGTCTTCTTCGATGGCTGCCCGCCATCCTTCTTGTGGGAGTGGAGCTCGTCGGCGTCAGCGTATAAGTTTCCCCGCTGAAGAGCCTTGGTGTATGACCTCAAGGGGTCAGTGATGAGACTCCCCGCGTAAGGGCTGCTGTGGAGAATGCCCTGGAATAGGATGAGGAGGGTGCGGTCATCGACACCTTTGACCTCGTCGGTCTCCTCCGTCCATCGGTCGATGAAAGCCCAGAGTGATTCATCGTGTTGTTGTTTGACGGAAACGAGATGGGAGAAGTGTTTCTTCACACGCTTCATTCCTGCAAAGTGGGTGAGGAAACGTTGAGCAAGATCCTTCCATGAGTCCACGCTTTCTTCAGGCAGCGCATTGAACCACTCGTACGCTGGTCCCTCAAGAGTGGAAAGGAACCAACGACAGAGGTATTCGTCCGATGTGTTCACCATCAGTATGTTGTTCTCATAGCGGCTGAAGTGTTCCTGGGGTCAGTGTGGCCGTCATAGGGCTTGATGGTGTTCCCCCGGTACTTCTCGGGTATTGGGACCGAGAGTACCCCCTTGGTGAAAGGAGTTTTGGTCCGTATCTGGATGATGAGGTCATCGCGCCCTTCGGTCAGCTCCTGCTCCAGGGCGCTGACCTTGTGCAAGAGGGCGCTGAAGTCGGGATCCCTTGATGTGGTAGCCGTAGGATTAGCGGCCAACTGTTTTGCCTCCATCTGGGCGAGCCTTCTTTCCAGTTGGGCGATGACCTCGTCCCGGGGGTCCTTGGTGGCCGTGGTGGCGCCTTGCTGGGTTCGCACGCGAGCTACGTGAGCCGTGTTGATTTGGTGGCGCACATCATCCTCGTGTAACTTTCCTTTGCCCTTGTCAAGACAGGGCCGATCAGATGTCCGGGATACAGACCCAAGCTTTCCCTTAGTGAACCGGGCTCACATTTGCCAATCCGTCTTGCCATCCTCTCCGATGCTGGCCGACGGTGCGTGTCACCTAGCCTGTTAAAGCCCGAGGCTTTTCCACACACTGGGGTCGGTCCACCACGGGGAGGGGAGGGGAGATGGGAGTGGGATGAAGACGTGTCATGCGGTTCCACCCCTTCGTCGTTGCCTGTCTTTATGGCCAACGGTTGGGGCTGGGGAGGTGGTGTAGTGTTTCCCCCTGTCCTTGGCATCAGTGCACTGAGGATGGTAGGGTTTTGACCCAAGCTGGCTATGATGGCCGATAGAGTGGCCTGGAGCTGAGGGTCAACAGCAAGAGTGGTATGTTGCCCTGATGCATGGTCACCCTTCTCCATGCGCTTCTTCTCAAGGCCGATGTGGGCGTCTTGAGCGTTGCCGTTAAGCTGATTGTGAAGGTCAGCCGTGGGGTCGATAGTCTCCTAGAATATTTCTTCGTCCCCTGCTTTGTCGGCCGTAGCGTCACCTGATTTCTCCCGGTTTTCCCGAGTGTCAGGCACGATTTTGGCGACGAAGTTGCGGTTTGACCTTGTTCTTCCCATTGTCAGTTAGCAGTGCTTGGTAGCGATGAAGGATGCTAACTTGATTGTTCTAGCTCTCAATGAAAGCACCCAATGATAGAGTATTAACTCTTAGAGAGAAGGGAGAGCTAGAGAGAGAAGTGCAATAAGTTCTACAATAAATGTATTTGTCAACCCTTCATAACTACCCCCAAAGGGAGTGTTTATAGAGAAAATATGGGCTGGACTCCCAAGCCTTGGGTTTGGGAGGCCCATTACAATATAAGGCCTCTAATGGGCTGAATCTGTCTAAGTATTGACTAAGTATAGAAAATGTTCCTGCGGGATCTGTCTGGCCGACGGAAAATATAAGGCCCATTACAAGAATTTGACTAAGTATAGAAATTGTTCATGCAGGATCTGTCTGGCCGACGGAGGCACCGGCCGATGGAGGACAAGTCTTCTCCTTGGCTTCTGAATCGTATTCTGGATTGACTCTTCTTTGGCCGATGGGGTGACATCTGGCCGACGGAGGGCCCACTGGATGACAGTTGTGCTCCTCTTAGTCTTCTGAATATATTGGTCATGTGGTCTGGACCCATATACTCCATCAACCTGATCAGGATTGCGATTAAAGGGACTTAGATCGGAAGTGGTCTAGACCAGGTATGTTAAGGGCTAGAACTGTATTTACTAGGATATTTCATTTCCGATTTCAGGTAAGAAATCTTTTTCTGTAAGGGAATTCAAAATTAAGTCTTCCAAAGGAAGAGTTGGCAAGGCGATTAGTATGCTTGATTCCCAACACCATTTTGGAATAAAAACTGTCCTTTAGCCTTGATTGCCATTTATATTTTTATTAAAAAGTGCACGTTCTATTTTAGTCAATAAAGTCGAATCCTTCCTTAAGAGCATCTCCAATGCTATATATGGTGCACTATATAATGGAAAAAGTCTATTTGGGGTATAGGCCAATTTTCTTATGAATGATAGGGTCTATATGAGTTGTGCTCCAATGCAAAAGAGAAAGATAATATGAAAGAGAAAGATAATATGAAAGAGAAAGATGGTCAACTACCTACCACTACCAAAGATTATCACATTTTATTATTTGTTTTTGTTGTGAGTATTTTTCCATTAAAGGTGAGATCGAAGTTCTTTGTATGGACCTCATGTTAAACCTTATCTCTCTTTTGTGATTGTCAACTCATCATGATTAGGTTTATATATATTTTAAATCGGATACTACATTTGTAAACAAAGAGTCTATTGACTGATGTGGAATAGCAATCCATCTCCGCATTGGAGATGCCCTAATGGTACGCCTTAAGGGACATCTCTTGATACTTCTCCACTTTGATACTTATTTAACATTTAACTATATACAATATCAATTGATCCACATCCATGAGTCATTTCCCTAGGGTACTTTCGATTGTACTTTGAGTGTAACATTTGAAAAATAAGTGTGACCTTATGATCATTAAAGTCGCCTTTGAAAAATTAAGAGTGAAAATAAGCATTTTGGGAGTTGGTGCTTCATTGCTTATCTATTTGCATGAAGATTGGTTCATTACTCGTTTTTGACTCATTTATACCTTTTGATTCTTCTCATTCATTAGTCTTTGTATATAATCATGTATTCAACAATCTCTAATATAAGAATAATAAAATAGCCTAGGAGGTGCGATATGGAACAAAAACACGAGCTCACATTTTATTAACGATAATCAATTGATATCTAGGGTCAAGATTTATCTAAATAAGATTAGGAAAGACTATAGTATTTTCTTAAGTTCAAACTTACGCAGAGTTTACAATTTAAATAGAAATGGTGAAACATATCCGAAACAAGACTTGTAGCTCTTATATTGCATTAATCATCAAGCATTACTCTTTTAGTTAATTAGATGTAAATTTCATTTGAACATTAATTTTAATAATTCAAACCTAGTGGTGAACCATCTTATGATAAAGGTAGGAGAGTTACTAATACTAACATAAACTCATCTTATATCACTTATATTTAAGTGATATAAGGAGTGAAGTGTCAAAAAATTTATCACTTATTTTCTCAGTCATTATAAAGTGATTAAATTATTCACAAACACAATGAAATGAGTTAGGTGCCATTATATTTTTCTGACACCATTTTCTATATTATGAATGACAAATATGATGAGTGATCATATAGTGACAAGATTACAAAGCCGTAAATATTTTCATTAATCACAACTCAGTAGCATTTTCGTAAATTTTTTTAATGTGCCATCATTTTTGTAAATAATTAAAAAAATTGAAAAAACTCTTTTAAGATTACATTTAAAAAACATTAACTTTTAATTTTTAAAATTTTTTCTCAGACATTACAAACCCTTACAATTATCAATTTTCACATAATTTTTAAAATTAATCCCTTTTAAAAATGGAAGTTAATACTAAATACAACCACTTTGTTGACCAACCTAATAAAACCATAGCAGATATGGACGAGGTTTGATCGACCATGACCGTCTCAATACAAGCGGCTCTCCCTTTATTTAGAAGAACGCCGTCAGTGGTAACGCCGAGAATGCTGTATACATCATCAATTATTTGTACAAACCCTAACGGTGTTCCCCACTTACTCCGCCGTTCCAACATGATACCCACGCCGGAGCCACCCCCGACGGCGGCGGTAACATTTCCTTTCTTTTCCAATCCTAAAATCGATCTCTCAAGTCCAACCCAAAATACTACCATATCCAAATGCTTCTCTTCAACCACTTCTATGAGCTCTATTCCGGTCTCAACGTCGGCAGGATTGGGAAGTGAAATGCTGGGCTTCGGCACGGAGTCTAAGCTGGTCGTTGTTTCTTTCTATAAGTTTGCAGATTTTCCTGACCATGCCGAGCTACGGGAACCATTGAAGGAGCTTTGCGAGCAGCTGGTATGTCGCTTTCCTTTTTGTGTTAGTATTTTGTTTAATTTGCTAATGGTGTTAGCTTTATATAATGTCTGGAAGTCGCTATTCAAATATTAAGACAGTGTTTTGCTTAATCTGATCAAATGTATGGCTTTCTTTAATGTCTCTAAGTCTTTATTGTGTTTTGCTTAATTGGGTAGAGTATACATGAAGATTATCTTCAATCCTAACTCCTCATTTAAAGATCTTAGCTTAATTTGCCTCATTAGTCAATCAATGGTCAAATTGAGTGTGAAAATGTTGACACTGCTTATTGGAAACCTCACCTGTAATAGTTAGGATGTTTTTACTTGGACTGGAATTCGTTCCAGACCAGATCAGACCAGTTCAGACCAGACCAGACCAGACTTGGATAGTTATAAAAATACAAAGAAACCAGACCAGTTCAGACCAGACCAAACCAACAAATTACAGTCCAAGTAAAAACATCCTTAGTCTTACGTGGACGAAATGGCCCAAAATGCTGCTTTTCTTGAGAGGATGTGTGTTCGGTATATGCATTTCAGCCAATTAAGTAAGTCAAAAGCTAGAAATAGCTATCAAATAGCTAGAGATTTTGGCTAAACATATGTCTCACTATTTCTGGTAGTCATGGATCCATCAGTATCCGCCATCCGGATTTGTGACATTTTTTTGTGTTATATGCATTAACTTTTATTTTCACACCAATTCTTTTCCGTTAATTGATTCTTTCCATGTCATTTGTACCTTACCAAGCTGATTATATTCAGCATGTGTCAGGTGGTATTATTCTTGCACCTGAAGGAATAAATGGAAGCATATGTGGTATCCAGGATTCTGTGGAAGAGGTTCTTGCATATATTGAACGTGATAACCGCTTAAAGGGACTGAGAAGGGTGGAATCTCCAGTGGGTCCTGAAGAAGAGGCGATTCATCATGGACATACAAGCAGCTCCCCTCTTGCTGCTGGTGAAGGTGCTCCATTTCGATGGGATCATGTTAGGGTTAAGCTGAAAAAAGAGGTAACTGTAAGGGTCAGTTTGGAACCCGAATATACTAAGAAAATAAACACGAATGAGAAGGAAAGAAAACTTGTGGGTTAGTTCATAATAAGTCAATTCAAGTAAATAGTTTTAGATATTTATATATATGTATATTTACTCATTTATTTCTGTCATGTAAAAAATAATAAATTTGAATTTATGTTTTTTAAGGAATTAATCATATTTCGTTTTCCGCACATAGGAAAATAATTTTGCTTCTCATTTCTTTCTTTTCTCTGGCAGTTTCCATGATCCAAACATACCCTAACTAAAACAAAGCAATAAAATTACTCCACTGTATTTATTCTTCAGTAATCGGATGCTGATCTTTAATTACTATTTTTTTCCTGGCAGATAGTCACACTTGGTATGCCATCTGTTTCACCAATTGAAAGAGTTGGAAAGTATGTTAAGCCAAAGGATTGGAATGCATTGATAAGTAACCCGGATGTTGTGAGTTACTTTACATCATTAGTAATCTTTGTTTGCTTATTTCTATAGTTATGGGAGAAATCACAATAAGCTTTTCACTCCTGTTCACAGAAGTGTTGTTCTGGAAGAAATTACATGGACTAAAGAGTCGTTAAGTGGTATAAATGAATATTGAGAATTTGAGATGGATAAAAGAGGGAAAAAGTACGCTTTTATAAAACTGTACATACTATGAAAGTGTGAAATAAAAAATTTCATCCAAAACGACACCTATTGTGAACTTTAGACTGAAGGGAGTATATGTCCATTTAATCTTTTGATTTTATTGCATTAATGGTACACAGAAATGTAATTCAGGTGCTGATATGTTAATACTTGGGCTCTGTTTATAGCCAGTTCTGTCTTATTCTGTTTATCTGTAGTATAACTGGAATAGGCAAAATGAGTAGTTTTGACTTGCTCATTTGGAAATGGGCCCTTGATTCCTTCTTGTTACGCAAGAGCAATGAAAACATATCAATCTTTTCAGTGACCTTCACACAGGTCATATTCATAAATTCATAGTAGATAAGGATTTTGAAATGAGCATTGGGTCTTACCTTGGCCCATGTGATTGGTTAGACTGGCATTTAATTTTGATTCCATATGTAATGAACATCAACACTCATGAACTATCAATGCCAATGTCTTTTCTTGAGATAATTACTAGACTGATTGCTTGCATTAAGCGATTATGATTACTTGGTAGGTTGTTATTGATGTGCGCAATGACTACGAAACTAGAATTGGGAAGTTCAAAGGCGCAATAGACCCATGTACGGAGGCCTTCCGGAATTTCCCACCCTGGGTTGACAATCACTTTGAACTTGGAGAGTCCAATGAGCAGATGCATTCCAGTGTTTCTAATGCAGTGCCTGAAAAAGAAACTGTGGATAGGGAAAAGAAGCCACTTCCCAGAGTGGCAATGTACTGCACAGGTGGAATTCGCTGCGAGAAAGCTTCAAGTTTGCTCCTAAGGAACGGGTTTGAGGAGGTAATGAACTACCACTATTATCTATTCTTTCAAAACATCTATAATTGACATGAGTTCATTCAACCAATGCCCTAAAGCGAAACTTGGAAAAAGTTTGGGTGAAATATCTTTGGGGCCCAAAATCAACCCTAACATGTTTGGGTTCAGCTTTTTTGAATTGTGGTCGAATTCCAGAATATCTAATTTTAAATTTTGTAGTATAAGTTGAAAAAGTGAATGATAGCAAGATGACAGAAATATGTTCTAATTCCATAATTATGAACACATCATGATGTTTGTAAGTTTGTAACTGTTTTTTTTGTGTGCAAAGAGTCTAATGGGCATCTTCTTCCTTCATCCCACAAAAGGACTCCTCCTTGGATAGTTACAACTTATTGTCATATTATTATGAGTCAACTCTATCAATATACAAGCTTACAAGTTTTAAATGTTCACTTATACACACCCAAGGCCCATTTCCAATATTGTTCAGAGTAATAGAATTTGACCCTTTGGCGCTTGGAAACTCTTTGGACTTTGAAAAAACGTTATTTTTTCTTCGGGACAAAAAAAACTTCTTCAAATGTGCATTTCTTTCGGGACAGGGGTGGAGAATAACAAATGTACAAATAGGGAGAATCGTTAAACAGTCTATTTATGATTGGTGCATTAATATTTTCGGGTTTTCATTCGAACCTGCATATAACGATTAAACCTCAGGCTGACTGAATCAAGAGCTTAAGTCAGGCTTAACCCGATATTTCTTGAACCGGACCCTAAGTATTGAACTTGAACTTTTGGTGAAATCTGAAATCACTAAACAGGTTTATCATCTGGAAGGTGGGATACTGAAGTATCTTGAAGAAGTTCCAGAGAGTACGAGTCTGTGGGAAGGGGAATGCTTCGTGTTTGACCAGCGGGTCTCGGTTGAACACGGTTTGGTTCAAGGCACATTCAAGCTCTGCTACGGTTGCAGAGAACCGGTGAGTGATGCTGACATGGAATCTCCAGAATGGGAGTATGGAGTTACTTGCCCGTACTGTTTTTCATCCAAATCTGAAGAAGAGAAAGAGAGGGCACGAGCCCGGCAAAGACAGTTCAAGAGTTGTGGCATTATTGGTGGTCCAAATAAGGGCCGGAAAACTTCAATGGTTGACAAAAGCAAAGAACAGAGTCCGTAGTATGGTTGGTGGTGAACATTTGCTATCTCTAATACAGAATTGAATTTTGAAGCCATCTGGGAGGGGCAGGGTAGCTCAAGTGGCTGAATATGCTGAAATGCATAAGTTGGATGAAAGGACTAGTTTGGATTCAATCCCTTGAATTGTGATATAAGTTACTTGAAAGAATGTATTTAAGTAGATTACAGATATTAATTTAAAGGTAAAATAACCAAGCATTCCAACCTAGCTGGTTGTGAGTTTACCGTGCATAGTGTAAGGTCTCGAGTTCAAAACCCGCTAGGCACATAAGGGTTTGAAACTCAATGTAGCGAGTTTCAGCCCTGATTACTACAGGTCCCCCAGCCCCTGACCCCCCATGGAGTAAAAAAATAAAATAAAAAAAGTAAAATTACTACGAATGCGTCTATTTCATCCAAAAGAAGGAAATTCATGCACTACTTTCATTATCAATTTATCATAAGCGGTCGGCTGATTTAGTCTAAATGTTTTAACCAATTATTAGGGTTGGAAGAAAAATCTTCAGTGATGAATTATTTCTCTTCTGCTAGTGATGTAGAATCTACAAGCTTCTGTAGAGACATGTTCTACAAGTTAGGGGTGGACTCGGGCCGGGCCAACCGGCCCGGAACCAGACCGACCCGCCACTGTACGGGCCCGGACCGGCCCGGGAACCGGTTCGTTGGGCGGTTCGGGCCACTCGGCCCGGTGGATTCTCGGTTCGGGCTCGGGCCCTTCAAAAGGTGAACCGGCCCGGCCGGTTCGGGTCCGGGCCGGGCCAATTTTAAATTTTTTTTGATTTTTTTTTTGAGTTTTTGGGTTGGGCTGGTTATTTTGGGTCATTTGAGGTGGTTAGGGTTGGTTTGGGGGTGAGGGGGAGGGGGAGGGGTGGGGGTTAACTAGGAAAAGCCCCCCCCAAAAAAAAAAAAAAATACCCGAGGCCCGGCCCGGACCCGGGATTTACCCGGGCCGGTTCCGGGCCTCCCCTTCTTGAACCGAGGCCCGGCCGGGCCCGAACCGGCCCGAGTCTACTCCTACTACAAGTATACGGAATATAATTGCGACTACAAATATTGCTAAAAAGCTTAAATATTCTTTTTAAAAAAGCTTAAATATTTTTCAGGCTCTAAAACAAAAAGTGTAAATATATAAACATATAATGGGGGTGGATCGAGTCCAGTGCGGTCTCGTCTGGTCATCGTTTAGTGAAGCTCAGGTCCGACGGTCGGGATTCCAGGTACTCGATTGGTCTTGATTTCGGACATGGTCCCGTTTTAATTTTGCCTGTTTCCAACACTAAAAGAAAATTGTCGGGATCAAAATCGGGACCCGAGCCGCCCGATTCAGTCCTCAAATCTGTGAATTGGGATCAGGTGCTCTCTTGGGCGGACTCAATCCGGGTCCAAACAGTACCAGACAAGTGTCAGACTAGGCTGAATACTTCACGTCTTGTCACTATTGCAGTTTGACAATTTGCTCAAGTTCCGTTTGATGATTCATTTGTTGGAAATAAATATTCAGCGAAGGGTCGAGGATGAAGGAACGTATTGGATAAGAACTTTGATATAGATAGTGACCAGCTCAGCAAACCATATCAGCATATGTTGGTTAAGTGTTGTAAATAAAATCTAATAAGATGATGAACTGATGAAGTGTATGGAGTTGGTTAGAAAGAAGTTAGTTGTCTGTTAGCTAGCTTGTAAACCATCCCAATAGTTTATATACTTGCTTGTACAATTCAATGGATATACATGAATAATAATCAACTTCTCTCTCTCTCTCTCTCTCTCTCTCTCTCCCTAAATCTGAAAACTAAACTATACAAACTCTCGTTGTCTATTTCTCCATTCTTAGCTAGATGACCTGACTTGTATCATTGGCATCAGAGACTATGTGATCTGTTTCTTGTTGATTTCAACGAATTTTGAAAGAATCAGCAACAAATTCCGAACAGGATGGTACAAACGAGAAATTCGAATTCCAAAATGGATGAAACTTTGAAGATCATGCAGCAGGAGTTTGATCAAAACCTTGAAAATCAAAACAAATTAATGTTGGATATGATGAGTAATATTATGAAGAAGGTGGTGGAAATACAAAAGAACAAAATCACTATTAATGAAGAAGTAGAAGGAGATGACAATGATTTAAAAGATAAAGACGAATATTCATTAGAAGAACCTGATGATGTTGTTGGTAAATCTCCATAATCACACCAAAATACTTTCAGGTTTACACCTAAAGTGGAATTTCCTACATTCGAAGAACATAATGTGAAATTGTGGATTCAAAAATGTGAAAGGTATTTTACTCTTTGTAACATCCCTGATAATCAAATAGTAAATTTAGCCGCGTTATACTTAGAAGGAAGAGTAGCCAGCTGGTTTGGACATTATGCGGGATCTAAGAAAAAGCTAAAATGGAAACAGTTCATTGCTGATCTTATAGCTAGGTTTAATGATAATGTGAGCAATAAGGTGGTTGAGACATTTAATAATTTGTAGCAAACATGATCTCTGGAGACTTTTATTGATGAGTTTGAAACACTCAAAGCTGCTATGATACAGAGAAACCCCAAATTACCTTCAAACTATTTCTTGGATTGTTTCTTGGCTGCTTTGTAACCTACATTGAAATCATTTGTCAAAACTTTTTACCCAAGGACTATGGCAAGGACTATGGCAGAGGCTATAGAGCTTGCTAGATTACAAGATGACATTGTAGAAGCAGTTACATTATAGACTAAATCTAGTGGTCAACAGAAGACGGCCATAACTAAACCTCTATTGCCAACTCCAGCTCAAACTTCAAAAATGGTTGCTAATCCACCTAAGTCCACCACAATACCTACACCAAGGAGGTTTGTATCAGCTAGTGAAAGGGATGATAAGAGAACTAAAGGGTTGTGTTACTAACAAAGACCATATATGTAGTCATAAGGGCACTCATCAAATGTTACTAGTGGAATTTGTGGGAGAAACATCTGACGATAAAAGCTGTGAGGAAAGATCAAATCAGGAAAGTAGTAGTGAGTATGTCATGCAAGAAGAAGAGCCATTAATATCATTCCATGCTATGAATGAATATGCAAATTACAAGGCAATGAGGCTTAATGGATATGTGGATAGGAAGAGATTGTTGATCTAGGTGGATTCAGGTAGTACACATAATTTCTTAAGCTTAAGCATGTCTAAGAAATTATCATCATGGGATAAGTAATGGACAATTGAGATAATATTATGCATTGGATCAGATTGGACATCATCATTTCCAGGTAATTCCATATTAACAACATTGGCAGCAAGAGCAAGATAATTCCATATCACAGTGAGCATCATTCAGTTCAGCGTTTACTGTCAAAAGGGGATGAGCAACGCCACCAGTTACCGCCTTATTACAGGTAGCCACCGGAGGCTCATCCCGGGTTACCATAACATCAGAGTCATGGATTACAGAGGCTTCAGTCTCTCGAAATTCATCACTGGCCATAATAAGAGTAGCCAATTCCTTAGCACAATCTAGATAAGCATTCTCAACAGTAGGGGCAACACTCGTATGGTTACATATCAGTTTTTAGTGTTTGAAACCAAATACGTAATACTGCACTTTGATGTTTTACTTTTGGAAACACACTTATTTTCTTTTTTGGTTGAGATCCCAAGTAATCCCATTTATCTCCATGGTGATGTTCTCACCATGATTGCAGCAAAATTGTACATGGGTTTTGGAGTCCATGTTTAGCTCAAAAGAGAGGTCAAATTAAGTCATTTGTTGTACTGAATGAGAGTCAAATCTCTCAACTTGTAACTGGACTATTGTACAAATGAAGCTTCTGGGAAAAAATCAAAGCAATAAAGGCAATGATTAAGAAAAAAAAGGATGAAGTTTGGTTAAAATAGTGTATTAAATAAAATGTAGGATACCTCTTCTTCAACTAAGATCAACTTCATTATACCCAACTTAAACATAGGCCAACTCTAACATATGTATAATCTATTAGATACTACATTTAAAATAATGGAGCATCTACATGAAATTAAAGTTGGGAAAAATTTAAACCATCATTCCACTTGCTGAGATAGCCTATGTGAGATTCGAACTCACATCTTTCGTGCAGCCACACGATGCTCTTCCAGTTGAGCTAATAGACTGTAAGAAATTTATGTAAATTTCCATCCTATAAAGTTATCACATTACGTTTAGAAGTTGACCATTTTGATCTATTTGTCATTTTAGCTATTATAGCTTTAACATTGCTAATTAAAGCTCTAAAGTAAGATGCTGCAACATTTAAGATAAACTATAGTGCAAAAACTTCTTATACAAATCAGGACTCCACAACATACTACTACGTGATACAGTACCCATGCGTTATAAATATCCACTTAAAAATGAAAACCAATGAAAGAATTACATAAATGAAATTACCATGTTGACCATCACTATTCAGATCATTCTCATCTTCACTCATTGTCTCACAATTGTCCTGAGCTATAAAGGTAAAAAATGATTTTAGCAACACACAAACATAATTGGAATCATAACTTTTAAGAAGAAATCACCAACTTATAGTTCACATGATCTAAAAACCTCAACATCAATAAACAACTGGTTTTATAAAAAAATGACACTACCTGCAAATGTTATATTTTGTATTATTAAATTATAGCTAAGAAGAGAAAGTTCTTAATGTTTAGGATTATGTAACTTCTAAAGTAATATTCATAAATATTAAAAGAAAATTAATAACTTTGTACAAAACTAAAACTGAATCAAAACAAATGATTGACTCGGCCTCTTCTAGGAATAAACTAAATGTTCTATTGATTTTGCATATTCTATGTACAAAGAGAGTCCAATGATTGTTTTCTCAAATACTAATGGGATGCTTCTTTTCTCATAACTTCTGATTAACTAAGTTTCACTTCTAAAAATAAATGCATAACTTCTATTTTGTGCAACAATCTGAAAGAAAAAAGTGAAACTACTGTTATTAAAAACAATATTCAGAATACTTGTGTTAGGCTGTTAGCTCAAAACAATCAGAATGCTTTACAAGTGAAAGTTCTTTTACATAAGATAATCAAGCACTCTTTCAGGTTAGCATAAACTAATAAAGCAAGAAATCATAACTCATAGAAAGAAAGTATTAATTAACTTGTAGTTTCACTTTAAGTCTAATGAAATTGATACTTTATAGACTATAGAAGTACGAGTTTCAACACTTGGCAGGTATAACTTAAATTAAATCTGGCTACACCTACTTGCTACATGAAAATTTTGACATATTAATCATTCAAGCATTCCAACAAACACTTGGTAGGTGTAACTAAATTGAATCTTTCCA